ATGCAGTGTGAGTATCACAGCGCTCACACAATAAACACTCACAGTAATTTGTGGTGTGTGAGCATCATAGAGCTCCATAGCGACAATATCTGTAGGGCTGTAGCTAAATGCATCATAGATTTATTATATGTATTATTATTTTTTTTGCAATGCAATCTCCTGAGAACAGTCTCTTCTATTACAGTGCTTTGGGTGCCAATATTAGATTGGCAACACAAAACTGTGGTAATGCACAGGGCCGGACTGGCCCACCGGGATACCGGGAAATTTCCCGGTGGGTCGGCACACTAGGGGGCCGGTGAGCGGCCGCCTAGTGTGCACCAGCCCGGGCTGCAATTACAAGGTGACCGGCAGGAAGGGATGCACTCCCCTAATGCCTGTCACAGAATGTAGCGTGGCCGAGCAGGCAGACTGCAGTAGGGGAGCTTCTGTTCCCCTACCCGGTCTGACATGAATCTGCAAGAGAGAACACTCCTCCTGCGAGCAGGCAGGTTGGAGCGTTACCATGGCAACGCTCCGACCTGCCTGCTGTTCTCGCGGGAGGAGAGCGAAGTCAGCCTGTGCCAGAGGAGCTGCAGGCTGAACAGCACGCGCCACCACTGTACCACCAGGTATTCAAAAGTAGCCGTTCCCCCTCTCCCCTGACCAAAGGTAAGGGGGTGGGGGTAAAATAAAGCTTTTTTTTTTTTTAATATATCAATGCTATAACCCATACACACACTACACCCCGTCCCCCCCACCAACAGCACCCCTCCCCCCCACCAACAGAACCCTTCCACGCTCACAGAACCCCTCCACACACACACAGAACACCTCCACACTCACAGAACCCCTCCACACTCACAGAACCCCTCCCCACACACACATAACCCCTCCACGCTCACAGAACCCCTCCAAACACACAGAAACCCTCCACGCTCACAGAACCCCTCCACACACATACAGAACCCCTCCACGCTCACAGAACCCCTCCACACACACACAGAACCCCTCCACGCTCACAGAACCCCTCCACACACACACACAGAACCCCTCCACGCACACAGAACCCGTTCACGCTCACAGAACCCCTCTACACACACAGAACCGCTCCATGCTCACAGAACCCCTCCACACACACACACACACACACCCCTCCACGCTCACAGAACCCCTCCATTCACACACAAAACCCCTCCACACACACACAGAACCCCTCCACACACAGACACACACAACCCCTCCACGCTCACAGAACCCCTCCACACACACAGGACCCCTCCACACACACACAGAACCCCTCCACGCACACAGAATCCCTGCACGCACACAGAACCCCTCCACGCACACAGAACCCTTTCACGCACACAGAACCCCTCCACACACAAAAGGCACTCTCTCCACACACACAGCACACACACACCAAACCGCTACACACACTGCACCCCCTCCAAATACACACCGCACCCACCAAACACTGAAGCCCTACACACACTGCACTCCCCACACACTGAACACACACACTGCACCCCTCACTGTAGTCTGTGTGTGTGCGCGTATTCACCAGTCTGTGCGCGTTCACCAGTCTGTGTGTATATTGCACAGTCTCTATATGTGTGTATTCAGCAGCCAGTGTATATATTCAGCAGTCTGTGTGTGTTTTTTGTGGTTTGTGTGTATTTAGCAGTCTGTCTGTGTGTGTAAGTATTGTATTTGTTGGAGGTACCAATAAATATAAGCCTAATTTTATTGATAATTTATATTTTTATTTCTTTGAGTGGTTGCATAGTCAGGGACCCAGTGCATTGGTTTGCCCAGTGGACTATTATGCTGTTACGATGGCCATGGTCTAGGGTATGTGTGTGCTCTGATGATCATGCTCCTACAAAATGTAAATGAAAAGACACTCATTTGAGTACCAGGAAGGGGATGAGCTGTAACAGCCACTTCTGGCCAAGAAGAGATTAAAAACTTATGTATTTCTCTGTTTTGTTTTGGGGTTTTTTTAGCGATTTTTGTATCGCTAATGGGTGTCCCATTTTTATATTTTCAAAATCTGGTCACCCTAGACACATGGAAGGTTGAGAGGGGACATAGGGACACATGGAGGACTGGGAGAGAGGGCTAATGGGACACATGTGGGGGCTACTGGATTATATGCAAATGCACGTCTGCATCTGCTTACAATAAATCTGCTCTGCTTTATTTTGAAGCCCTATAAGTGCTTTCTTTCATGTTTGAGTGCTAGTTTTCAGTTTTTTTCCCGCTTCCATATCTGCGCACTATGCTGGCGCGATGCATTACGGGGCTGGTATGGAATTTTTTTCCTGGGCTGCTTTTCATTCCCAGTCCGGCCCTGGTAATGCAACACCCATCATTCTCCACGGACCCCAGGAAGTTCAGTAGTGCAGTCGAGTTCTCCCAATGCCTGCATTAAATTAAAGGACCACTATAGTGCCAGGAAAACAAACTCGTTTTCATGGCTCTATAGGGTCCTTGGGTCACCCTCTCGGTCCCCTCCTGCCGGGCTCTGGGGGGAGGAAGGGGTTAATCCCTTTTTTCCAGCACTGGGCTCCCTTGGCGCTGGGGACTCTCCTCCTTTCCCGTCATCGGCTGAATACGCATGCACGGCACATTCTCAATGCTTTCCTATGGACGCTGGCATCTTCTCACTGTGAAAATCGCAGTGAGAAGCGCGGAAGCACCTCTAGCGGCTGTCAATGATACAGCCACTAGAGGCTGGATTAACCCTAATATAAACATAGCAGTTTCTCAGAAACTGCTATGTTTACAGCAGAAAGGGTTAATCCTAGATGGACCTGGCACCCAGACTACTTCATTTAGCTGAAGAGGTCTGGGTGCCTATACTGGTCCTTCAAGAGTTCATACTGGATGCAAAGATATGGAAAACAGACCCTCACTGCCCCAACTGGACAGGAGTTTGGAATAAAAGGAACCTATTACTATAAGGTGTATAGCATAGTTTATCTAGATAAGCTGTAAGGTATAAGTGATACGTTTTTTTTCATAGTCAAATCAATTCTTTCGAAAGTGCGGCCTGCCTCTCTCGTGTCCAGCTGGTTAAAAAAAAAAAAAAAGATTTTAAAAGTAAAGGAGAAAAAAAAATAATGAAAACACAGCCACATGAACTATAAACTGTACCCATCATTTCTTGATATAGTGGGGAGCATTACCCCAACGAACTCCTTGAATGTATCCAATAGTCAGTCTTCATGTCAGTGTTTGATGTTTGTGGCAAAGAATAGATCATGAGGTTAATAAATATTTGTCCTCCCACAAATCTCCCAAAGTGGGATTAGCTAACAGATAATGGTTTGGTTACTCAGTAACATACTATTTGCTCAGCCAGTGTCCAATACAGAATGTTTCAACTTTGCTTTGGTGCTGTTAAACTCAAACAGTAAAAAAACCAAAAAAAAAAAACCAACTTCATCTTATACCTATGTGCACACACCAATCTTTTAGGATGAAATCGATTATAGTGACAAAAACTTATAAATATAATTTGACTTACTTCCTGTAGTCTCATCTAAAGGGCTATTCACTAAAATAGGAATTCAAAAATAGTAAGCAGTTACTATAAACGTTGCAGCATAATGTGCCCTAATGGCCACTATTGGGAAGATCCCCCCCTCTCATTTTGTTGTAAAACCTGAAAAACTTTTTATTTACCTGCAATCTAGTGCCAAAGTGGTCATGATGGTTGGAGTAACACTTTATGGCGAAAATAGCCAAAATACAAGATTCTCTTAAAGGAACACTATAGGGTCAGGAACACAACCATGTATTCCTGACCCTATAGTGCAAAACCATTCTGGTGGCTTGCCCCCCCCCCCCCCTTACCCCTCTTATGATGATGTCGCCCCCTTGGTGACATCATCAGAATTGCCAATCCAATGGGATTGGCTAAAAATCCCATGGGAAAGCATTTTTTTGGCTAAAATCGGCAAGGGGGTGGGGCCAAATGCTGTTTTGGCCAATCAGCACCTCATAGAAATGCATTGAATCAATGCATCTCTATGAGGAAAATTCAATGTCCCCATGCAGAGTGTGGAGATGCTGAACGGCAGGGCTGCCTACTGTGCAGCCCTGAGCCAGGAAGCACCTCCAGTGGCCATCTGAGGAGTGGCCACTTGGAGGTGTCCCTAGGGGCAATGTAAGCACTGCATTTTCTCTAAAAAGGCAGTGTTTGCATGAAAATGCCTGAAGGCAGCTATTATACTCACCAGAACATTACGATGTAGTTGTTCTGTTGACTGTAGTGACCCTTTAAGTTAGCTATGCTTTTGGTTCTCTATTCTGACCTAATTTTGAAATTCACTTTGAATTCTCATCAGTAAATAACCCTTAGTCCTTAGGTAGAAGTGGAGATTTGGTGTAATGGTGGTGTACATCATTATTCCCACTCTGTAAATATGTCTTAAAGGACCAGTTGTAATTGACGGGAACAACTGCATCCATCATCCAAAATGCAGATAGCCCCTAACCGACCACTACCAGCTAAATGTTCATGGAACTTGTATTAAGGGTGAGCTAATTACACTGTAACGTTATGGCGAAAGCCTCTCACAGTTCAAATATGTGGGTGAATAAACTCCTCTTCCACCAAAATATGGTTCATACGTATCATCACAACTAAAACACACTAAACATTATAGTGAAGCTCTTTGGGTGGTGACTTTTTAACGCATCTCATAAAGCTCATTCATTTGGCCATAATATTAATCATTATAATATAAAATAGTGCATTGAAACCTAATCACTAAAATAAAATATTGATCTTTAGATTCATTTATCACTTACTTACTCAAAGTGTTGGAAATTCACCAATGAACTAGAATAATCTGCTCTAGAAACCTAGTGCAGTTGAGGATTTTATTTTCTTCCTCTAACTCAACAATTTTGTCCTAAAGCTTGCAATTCCCTGGTTAATGCCCAACAATTCACGGTTGAATGAATAGAGCCTGCATGTGTTTTTGGAAGAGTTTGAGCTGTATGTAAGAAGGGTTAACAGTAAGACCCTCCTCTAGGGAATAGATCAAATGTTTGAAAAACAGCCACTCTTTGTTTAAGGTTTGATGTGGCTGCCTGGTCATCTACCCCTCACCCTGTGCCCTTGTGTATCCCTGACCTGTGCAAAAAGAACAGACTCAGTATCGAACCTGCTGGGACACCTAGCAGATTTTGTTTCTATCCCTTGGCTGAACACGGACTACTGGAAGGCAGACCCTAGCTGCAGGTAGGAATTTAAACCACCTTTCACGTTCACAAACCCAACTGCTTTTCAGCACGTTATCCCCACTTTTGGACGGCGCCCAATGATATCGGATACCCGTGTGCTGATTAAGAACGCGTTGTGTTTTGGTTAGCCATTGTACAATACCGCAGAATATGTTGTTGCTTTATAAATACTTTAAATAGCAATACTGGAAGATTTCTAATTAACATCTGTCATTCAAATAAAGTAGTGATGGTACAGTTTTAGCATTCCACTTGCAGTGTGAACTGTTCCTTTCAGAATGTGGTTCCCCTTAGCTAGAACATAAATGGCCGTCATCCACTGGATGAAGGCATTCTAAACATTGTCAATTAACAGGGGTTTTATCACAGCATTCCATTGCAAGCCTCTGTATTAAACTGCAGCTGGGAATTCCTATTACGTTGAGCTTGAGACACCAATGCAGTAAAGTAAGAATTCACAGTGAATTTCAAATTTATTTATTTTTATTTTATATTAGGGTATTGCGGTGGAGATCTGTCATATTAACGAGTACACATTAGCTAGTGTAGGCATAGAAGTGTATACAGAACTGCCCTGTCAGCTATACAGTATAACTTAACATGCGTGAAACACGGTGGGTAGTATGTCAGGCGAGAAGTAGTCTAGTTCTAGCATCAGGACATATTAGCTGACATGTAGTGTGGTCGCCGCGTGGGAGTCGTACCTAAAAACAGCATACAGTGATAAGAGTATAAACAGCCTAGGTCACTGTGATCTGGAGCTGTATGAGAAAATGTGTTCTGCTCCCTAAATTTAAGAGTCCCGTCATGCCGGATAACAGGTCTAAAATGATTGCTTACAGACCTGGCGCTGAAAGTTCAGGAGGCCCGATATAGAGATTCTCTGTCAACCGATATCCCCTGTTGGGAAGCAGCTAGAGCCCGCCGGTGGGCCGTAGGGGGCCGCAGTTGCATAGACGTTAGTGGTGGTGTCCCTCCAGCCCCAGGCTGGTACGTAGGCCTGCATCTCATTGCCACAAACTCTGCAGCTTATGGAGCCTGAGTTTCTTCCCCGTCTGGGTGTGACGGAGGGCCTGATGAACTTTGGCCGCTTGCGGCATTGGAGCCTCCATGGGTGCGGGAGTGAATTTCAAATTTAGGGACGAAATAGCCAAACTCGAAAGTGTAAGAATTTGCGATTTAGTAAATAGCCCTGAAAGTCTTTACTGCAAACACATAGATATAAATTTTTTTTTAAATACAAAATTTGGAAGAATTCCCCAGCTTATCTCAAAGTCACAATTTAGATCTTTTAGACTAAATTCTGCAATTCAATTTTAAATTCACAAAAATTCCGTGTTTAGCGAATAAACACTCCCTATTGCTGGTAAATGGAAGGATCTAATACAGTGTTATATTACTGTTTTAAATAACATAAAGCAGTGGGATAACTTATTTCCTTTAGGTAAAAGTCTTAAAGGGGCCCTCTAAGTACCATAACCACTACAGCTCAAATTAGGGGTTGTGGTGCTCATTGCTTAAAGGGCTTTTGGGTGCCATTTCATGTTTTTGTTATTTGTGAATTTTGCCAAAAACTTACAGACAACCATTTGATAATGTACAATTTAAACTTTATTACGTATCTCAATTCAATCCAACCCAAATGGAGATAAAAGACTAAGAATGCCTGCCTAAGGGTAACTTGTGCATTCCCCTCTGTTCCTGTGCGTCCAATTAGTCTGGTTACAATTACGTTCTTTTAGTCCACCCATTGTACAGAGATGCAAAATTTGTTGGTGCTGTATAAATAACAATAATTGGAGAAGGGGCAATTTATGGTGGCTGGTTGAGACACATTTTTATCAAAGTGCTGAACAGGGACGACATCTACAGCTTCTTTGCACCATAACCACTTCACTGGTTCACTAAAGTGCCTCTTTAAAAGGGATACTTTACTGCCCACATACAAAAAAATGACAATTTAGTAGATATATCACCAATGAAAGCATGCATGTATTTAATTATTTTTTTCATCAAAGGCATATCTTAAAAAAACCGCCCAGACTTCCTATGGCTGTCCAATCACAAAGTTTCTAATGCAGCTCAATAAGAAGTATTTGCAAGGCAGGTGCTCTGTGCAATTGTCTGCCTTTTGAGTTTAGCTCCACTGAGCTAACCAAACCAGGAAGTAACAAGACCGTTGTCTGAGAGCCAGGGGTATGTAATCAGGTTAATTTATAAAAGACTTTGATACAACTGTTCGGGTTGAACGGATCAGTGGAATTAGGGTGTTGGTTCTAAGGCCTAGGCCTCGAGAAGTGGCTTTTTAGGGCGCTCCTACCATACTAAGTAGATGCTTCAATTACAATGGCCTACAAACTACTAGTAATTGTGAGCATTATTATATAAAACTATGTAGTTGACACTTTATCTTAAGAATGTATGTACCTGCTAACACTCGTTGTGTTCCCTTGCATATTGCTATACCTGCTTGTGCTCTGTTTGTCTAACCATATGTTAATACTTTTTTGGGGGAAAAATTAAAAACGTGGCATTATTACTCAGAGTACATTATGTGCTGTTTTGTTACTCTTTATCTGTGAACTGTTGGGCTTATTTATACCAGCTTTCATTGTGTTGTAAATTTACTTCATGCCTCAAAAAAAAAAAAAAATTAAAAAAAAAGATTATTGGGTCATAAAGTGTCTGGGGAAAAAAACAATAAGAGAAGGGAGGATAATAAAGGAAACGCATTAAACAAAATAGAATTTTATAAATTAACAATGCTGCAAACCGCAGGCTGTGAAACAGACAACGGGTTCTGTTACTTCCCGGTTTGTTTAGCTTTGTGGAGCTGAACTTAAGTGCAGCAATTGCTCAGAGCACCTGCCCTGCATTGAGCTGTATTGGGAAGTCTGTGATTGGACAGTCACAGAACGTCTGGGTGGGGCTAGTAGGGGAGGGCTTGAAAAGGCTGTACCTTATTTCCAGCGCCATGTGGGTCTGCCAGTGCTGGCCCTGCCCCCTGATCCACCTCTTTGCTGACATAATCAGACTTTACGATTTTTAGCCAATCCCATAGGGATTGTCTGAAATTGGCAAGGAGGTGGGACATGGTCGGGGCCAAACACTGGCTTGGCCAATCAGCCTCTCCTCATAGAGATGCACTGAACGAACACATTTCTATGAGGGAATTTCAGCATCTCCATGCAGAACTGCCCTAGGAAGCCCCTCCAGTGGCCATCTGAGGAGTGGCCACTGCATGTGTCCCTAGGGGGAAATGTAAACACTGCCTTTTCTCTGAAAATACAGTGTTTACATGAAAATCCCTGCAGGGAATGATTCTACTCACCATAACAACTTCATTAAGATGTAGTTGTTCTGGAGACTATAGTGTCCCTTTAATATGCAACATTTTAAAATGGTTCCTTTAACTTACATTCTTGTAAAGTAAAACTACACTGTACTCTAACTCAATGGATTTAATAGCCAGCTACTCGGTCTCTGGGCAGAGCAGTGGGGGAGGTGACTGCGTTCATTATGGAAATATCTCTTATCGCCCAATCTGTTCCCATTCTACATTCTACATCAACTTACCAAGGGACATTAAAGGGCGACTGCCATCTCCCGGGACTTATATTATTATTTTTTATTAACCCATATATTTACCAAGTATGAATTTGTGAGGACTGGGAAACAGAATAAAATGCAGAAGTTTCATCAGCTGTGTTTACCTCTGCCCTTGATCTGACCACCTCCATCTTGGCTACCCTGTTAATCACTGTTAAAAGCCTTGCCCTTATCTGTCATAAAAAGCCTCTGATTCACACAACTTTTAATTAAGATGTAAATAATTAATGGATTGTCCATGAGTAAACATAGTTTATAAAGATGAAGAAAAATTAACAATTAAACAATGTGTGCCTAGCCTGTGCCAGGATTGAACTGGATTTTGGTGTAAATTGCTAAGTCTTTAATAAACATGTAGCGTTCGTTACAAGATGCTATTCAATCATGTAAAAGCTGCATTTTAATATGAGATTGTTCTTGAATCTATATTTTGGTTTAGGTATGCATCTCTTTCTACTGGTACTTGTAAGCCTTGTAGGCTTGGGTTTCTCTCAAACACAGTATCCTGATGTCTGCACAGCTAAATCCAAAGATATCCCTCTGAGTCCACTCTGTGTATACCGGAAACCGGTAGAGAAAGGAGAAAATAAGCAGAAAGACTCCACAACGCCTGAAGAGAAGGTCCCTGATGCTACCAACCCCAGGGTCTGGGAGCTCTCTAAGGCAAATACCAAGTTTGCAATGGATTTCTACAAAATTGTGGCTGACTCTAAAGCCGATTCTGAAAACCTCTTCATGTCCCCTTTAAGCATTTCCCAAGCGTTTACCATGACAAAACTGGGAGCATGCGAAAACACCTTGAAGCAACTCATGGAGGTGAGTGGTTGAGATGACCAGAATAATACAATGGCTAGGTTAGCATTCTACATGGAACAAACTACGTATCTCTCCATTCTTAAAGCTCACTAAATTGTATTCCGCTTTTTTACTTTAAATCTTTTTATTATTTTATTTTATTAATATAAATAAGATAGAGAAGAACAAAAAGTCAAACATGATATTCTCACAGAGTACATGCATAATAGACAACAATCTCATAATGTAAAGTATAAGATTATTCGTAGGGTATACATATGTGTGACGCACACAGAAACAATATTAAGTGAAATTGGACAATCAAAAAGCTAAAGGTAGGTGCTAAACCACGCAACTGTCCCAACAAAGCCATGTGGGTTGTGCAGGGCCTAGCAATACCATCCATCTATTAAGTGGTTGTGGTACGCATTGAAGGAACACCCACACCTAAAGCACTTTAGCTTGATGAAGTGCTTTATGTACATAGAATGTGACGGCAGATAAGAACCATTCGGCCCATCTAGTCTGCCCAATTTTCTAAATACTTTCATTAGTCCCTGGCCTTATCTTATAGTTAGGATAGCCTTATGCCTATCCCACACATTCTTAAACTCCTTTACTGTGTTAACCTCCACCACTTCAGCTGGGAGGCTATTTCATGTACAAAGTGTGACTTTTTTTCATTTTACAAAAAGTGCGGTTTTTAATAGAAATTGTCTGTCAATCAGACAATCAGTCCTGTTGCTTCCTGATTTGGTTAGCTCATTAGGCAGGTAATTGCCCAGAGCACACATCTTGCAAAGACATCTCATTGAGCTGGATTGGGAAGTCTGTGATTGGACAGTCATAGGAAGTCTGGGCGGAGTTAAAAGGGGAGGGCTTGCAAAGGCTTTAGATTAGAGATCTGCAGGATTTCCAAGCTGTTTTAAGTATACCCACGATGAAAATATATATAATTAAATAAGTGCATGTTTTTACTGAGGATATATATACTAAAGCAGAATATCTATTTAATGTGCTAATCTAAAGGTACACATGCCTCGGAAATCTTATTGTAATCACATCCAGAGGATTTACAACCGTGGATAATATCTATAGGAACAATAAACACACAGGCTCATAGGGGCAACAAGAGAAGGCAACTCAAACTGAGATAGATGCTACCTACCCCTTCTCAGAATTAACACTGGGCATATACTTTTTCTCATTGATAACTTTGCTTTTGTTTGTGTTTCCCAAAAGGTCTTTCGGTTTGACTCAATTTCTGAAAAGGCCTCGGATCAGATTCATGTATACTTCTCAAAACTAAATTGCCGCCTCTACAGAAAGGCAAATAAATCATCGGAGCTGGTATCAGCTAACCGTCTCTTTGGCGAGAAGTCTCTGACCTTTAATGACACCTACCAAGAAATCAGCGAGATATTTTATGGCGCCAAGCTTTGGCCTCTAAATTTTAAGGTGAAATTTGTTTTTTTGAAGGGCGGGGTGGGCTTGTGTATAAGGTATATTCAGTAAAGACAGACAACGGTCACAACATTTTTTATAATTAGACATGTTCACAGGCAAAGCTATTTGATTGAAAATATGTATCTATATTTTTTTTGATCATGTAACAAAGAAAAAAAGAGTTAATGTTTTCTGAGATATATTAAGTAAGATTTACAATTGCGTTGTAATTTAAAAAGTGGTGCAATTTTGTATAAGGTGGAGTAACGGCGTGGGTTATACAATCACAAGCTGATTTTGACATCAATTTATCACTAAATGAAGGTTATAACACCAAAAATGTGTCACCTAAACAGATATCATCATTAAACATCTGCAATGTTTTAAATACAGTTTACACTATAATTTTGACACTACACTACAAAATATAAGTTGTTGGTTCCCCGTTTTAAGCCAAATATGGCTTGTAGTCCGAAGCAAGCTTATAAAAATGTCTTGATTATTGCTAAATTTTTCTTTTTAACCTAAGACCCAAGTTAGTCATTGTATAATCTCCATTCATTCCAATATACACCGCATATCAATGAGGGGGGGAAAAACGCTCCATAAAATATTTTTTCTATGGATGAATACTTATTTTTGATTGAACGGTGACTAAACGCAACTAAAGTAAAGAAATGTTTACATTAAAATGTGCTTTTTCTTTCAAGGAAGACTTTCTAACTGGTATCATTCTTACAATTATTAGAGGGTAAGCTGCTGTGTCCTGGATGATGTCCAGGACATTTATCACTTTTTCATGTTGATGGGCTACACATGAGAAGTGCTGCCCTGCCATATGTAGCATTGGTATGCACACTGATGAATGACTTAATTTTCTTTGTGCGCCATTGAAATTCTACAAACCAGAGATGTAGTCCACAACAGCTATAGCGTTAAAGATTGCTTATCCCTGTTTAAAGTGATTAAATGAACTGTTCCCCATAAACTTCTTCTGGGCAACTGTTTATGGGATAAGAGTCTTTTCCCGGTTAGAGAGGGGTCTGACTGTAGCTGCAGGAAAACGACTAATCCGTGCTGAACAGGGGAATTTACAAGTATATATCATTATATATTATTAAAGTAACTTTTTTATTCCATATTTGTAAAAATTATTTTTAGTGTATTATCTATAGAATGCATTAGAATGTAGGGGGTTACAATTAAACCACTTAATTTCTCGTTCAAAACAATGTTTAATCCGTAGATGACCGATAAGTAATATAGTAAGATGAGACAAGATTTAGGTCAAGATTAAGTTAGGGTAGTTAAGAAACTGTAATTAGCTAGTGCTCCCATTGGGCACATTTTGTTTTTTAACTTTTTTTTTTCTCTTCTCTGTATTACCATAGAATGTGACGGCAGATAAGAACCATTCAGCCCATCTAGTCTGCCCAATTTTCTAAATACTTTCATTAGTCCCTAGCCTTATATTATAGTTAGGACAGCCTTATGCCTATCCCACACATGCTTAAACTCCTTTACGGTGTTAACCTTTACCACTTCAGCTGGAAGGCTATTCCATGCATCCACTACCCTCTCAGTAAAGTAATACTTCCTGATATTATTTTTAAACCTCTACCACTTCAGCTGGAAGGCTATTCCATGCATCCACTACCCTCTCAGTAAAGTAATACTTCCTGATATTATTTTTAAACCTTTGCCCCTCTAAGTTAAGACTATGTCCTCTTGTCGTGGTATTGATTTATAACTGTCTTCTGAGGTCGTGCAATGAAAGTTTGTTCTTTAATTTCCTCCAGGATAAACCTGAAGAATCCCGTGAAATTATAAACAATTGGGTGTCCAATAAAACGGAGAAACGTATCACCAACGTTATTCCAGAGGGCGCCATCACCCCCTTAACTACATTGGTGCTTGTAAACGCCATCTATTTTAAGGTGGGTATTTTCAGAATTTGTAGAAAATAAGCTTGTAGATAGCTAGACAGATATGGGAGATATATATATATTTTATCAGTGTTTTACAATGTTAATAAAAAATTGAAATAATTTAGATTTATTGATTTGTAAAATATGTTAACAGGAAAAAAGTTAGAAATGTCCCTTATTTGAAATTTGTCCTTGCTATTTCTGTTTTGTTTTTGTTGTTGTTGTTGTTGTTGTTGTTTGTCCAGTCATACAATATACCCTCCTCTTATTGGAAGGAATTATTTACTTTGTTTAATTATTGAATAATATGCTCTTCAAAGAGGAATGTTTCTTGGCAATAATGCGGCACATTTTTTCCCCATTAATTGTCTTTATACAGGGCCAGTGGAAGTCTATGTTTGATCCTGAAAACACAAAATTAGATTTATTCTATCGGCCATGGACAAACGAAACCTACAGTGTTCCCACTATGTACCAGGAAGGGCTATTTCGCTATGGATCATTTAAGAAAGATGGAATTCAAATCCTTGAACTGCCTTACAAAGGAGATGACATTTCTATGGTTTTCGTTTTGCCATCACATGACACTCCATTGGAGGTCATAGAAAAGGATATTACTTTGGAGAAATTAACCACCTGGCTCGATAAGTCTCATTATGTACAGACATCAGTTCACATCCCCAGATTCAAAATTGAGGGAGCTTTTAGTGTCAAGGAAAGTCTGGAAAAAATGGGTCTGGTGGACCTCTTTGACCCAAATAATGCTAAGCTTCCAGGTATGTTGTTGTCATTTGATTTTCCAACTTTCACTGAAATGATTTAAAGGGTTATTTTAACCATCATAATCACAACAGCCCACTTAAGTGGTTATGACGCCAGGAGTACCCTGACACAGTAATGGAGCAAATCATTTAGCAATCATTTGCTCTCTTACTTGGGTGATGCCAGGCTACGAGGCTCCATGGTGGTCTGGTAAAATGCTTCCAGCTTCTGTAGAGTTGCAGAAACTGTCAGCTCCAACTATCGCCACTCATTGGCTGAGAGTGTTAGCCAATTACTCTGTTTGTTTAATGAAAGTTCCGGTTTGTTGATGACACCACAATGATGGTACCGGATGTGGACTTAAACTTTCGTCAGCAGAGGGATTACTTCTAGTTTATGAGAACATATATAATACTACAGACATGAGTATTAAAATAGCTAAATATTTCATAAGTTCCTATCAATGTCTCAAGCATGTTCTATTATGAGTACAGTCTGAGAGCTGTTTATATTGGGCTGACTCTAGCCAATACAATACTAATAGTCAACAAATGGACCATCAATGGAGCTTTTTGGAACCAGATTAATCATTCACATTTTCTTATGAACAGAACCACTTCCAAGTGCTGAACGGCATATCATATAAACCCTTGCTGGCCAGCATTTTAAGGAAAGTAAAAAATAAGTTAATGTGCTTTCTTTTTTTGTACTTCCAGGAATTGTTGCTGGTGGAAGGACTGACCTTTATGTATCTGATGCATACCATAAGGCCTTTTTAGATGTAAGTATTGAAAAATACATGTCTGTGCAACACTGAGTATCTCCACTCAAATTAAAGGGGCACAGGGTAATATGTAAACCATTGCCCAACCCCTCACTGTCCAGCTAATATAGAAGTTACATTTCATAATTCTAAATATCAATTTCAATGCATATTTGGATGACATTCATTGGCTGAGCTCATCACCTTAAATGCTTAGCTGATGAAAGCAGTCCTAAGTTGTACAAATTGATACAGATTTTTTTATTTTTTTGTAAATAATATAAATTTTTATTTAAATCAAGAAAACCTTATCGTGATATATCTAGAATGTCGTTTGTACGTACACAGATGTGGTGCAGTCAAAATCTTGTTATCTTGTCACACATAGAAGAATTGTTGGAATTTCAAAGTGAATTTCAAATAACTGGAAAAAAAGCTACTTTGGAAATAGTTTTCAATTCAACGAATTTGGCCTAAACATTTGAAATTTTTTATTTTAATGAATATCCCTGCTGGCAGGGATAATTCTTGATCAACCTCAATGGATGGAGCAGTGGAACCGAACGGCCACTGATGACGGTTTCACTTAAACCAACACTGGTTTATTTCCCTTTTGACCAGATGGTGGTGTTGTTTTTGTATGCAACATATCTTATGTCTGTGTTTGTCAAGGGTCTGCCTTCTGCCACCCTATGCTGTAGCTGTGAAGGGGTTCATTTAATCATGGCTAAACAGACGGCATGTGATATCTGAAGTTTAAAGCTCACTAAACAGGTATTTACCAGGTTAGCAGATCCTCAAGACACAGAGTAATAGTAATAGGACAACACATTGAATGCTTTTCCATAAGTTTCCATGGGGTGAAATCTTTAGTTTACAGCTGGTGGTTTTGTTTTTTGACATTCTTTATTTTTGTTGTGCAGAGAGTAATACACAGGTATGTAGGAACTAGTGATGTCCCGAACGGTTCGCCGAACGGTTCGCCGCGGACTCATCATTGAGTAAACTTTGACCCTGTACCTCACAGTCAGCAGACACATTCCAGCCAATCAGTAGCAGACCCTCCCTCCCAGATCCTCCCACCTCCTGGACAGCATCCATTTTACATTCATTGTGAAGCTGCATTCTTAGTGAGCTGTCCAGGAGTTGGGAGGGTCTGGGAGGGAGGGGCTGCTGCTGATTGGCTGGAATGTGTCTGCTGACTGTGAGGTAGAGTGTCAAAGTTTACTCAATGATGAGTCCGTGGTGAACCGTTCGCGAACCGTTCGGGACATCACTAGTAGGAACATGTCAACATAGATACATATGCCAAGAGACATTTTTGCGAAGGTGACATAACGTGTCGTGAGTGCTGCACTCTTTTAGAAATGAAATAACAATATGAGTATAGCAGATAGCTTAACTTTTGAAAAAACAAATCACAGCCAGGAACACAGTGCTATGTAGGTGAAACAGTGAGAGAAAGACACATGCTGTCGCGTAGTACTATAGATATTGTCAAGGTATAAACAAAAACCGCTGGGATTTATTGAACTAGTTACTCAATTATGCATTAACATACAATATCAGAGACATTAGGGTCAAGTTGAAAAGTATGGTCATGAATGATACAACCAAGCTGCAGGTAAGCTGTGTGGGTCAGTCAGTCAATTCCTAACGGGCTAGAGTCCCAGCCTCCGCCATTGACAGTCACCCCTGTGAGGTCCCTCCCCTGCGCCCAAGCACCCCAGTAGCATAAGAGTCTCTGCATAAGGGTGACATCTCTCTTCTCATCCAAGACTCGTGTCTGCCAGTAGGAGATCCCACATGAGTGGTCGGCCTCTGAGAATTAGTTTCAGGGACATCCATTCACAATAACCATTGTAGAACACTTTGGTGGGTATGGTGCCCAGAGTGCCCATTAAAGTAAACTGAGATGCTTGGCCATTTAAAGAATATACTTGTAATAAATATTTACTTCTAAAAGGATTTTGTGAAATCCATTTATGTTTTTGAATAATTTGTTTACAATAAATATATTAATTTGCACTTTACAATGTTTTGTAAGTCAAAAACCTAGTGCACAAACAAAACATTCATAGTAATTAATCATTATGACTTGTGTTGGGGATTATGGATTTTGTAACCATGGTGAATATCAGAACTCCAAGAAGTGCTATGTAGGACCCATAGGATTACGTATGGGTAATAGGTGTTGTAAAACAGCCCTGTTGCCCAATGATTTGTTCAAAACTGGAGGTGATAGCAAAGAGCCCGAGATACTGTCCTGGCAATATTTTAAGCTGTCACCAACAGAGATGTGAGGCTTAGATCTTAAAACTGAGCAATCACTATGAAAATAAATGGAATCCTGTCCCTGTTGATTTAAGTTTCCATGGCAATTTCTCTACTATTCGTTTTCCCCCATTTATATTTGCAACACTCCAAATGTCAGAATATTTTACCAACTCCTTCCTGATTGACATTATGCATTTGGAAGCAGTAACATTGTCTCTCCACCAAAACTATGTGACCAGTTATGACAACTAATAACAATTGTCTTTATCTTTGAGTGACGTCTTCCCTTTCACTCAAGGAAAAAGTAAGAGTTCTTAGTCAAATAATTTTTGACGACAGATACGTATTCTCTTTTAAGCACAAGAAAATTTATAACAGAGGAATGAGGATGATTTTCCCTACATTCACCCCAACAGTATTGTGTTGTGTCGCACAGACATAAGTAGCAAACAGATGGAGAATAGGGCCTGATTCCATGTACATAGATAAGGCACATTGATCAACAGTGATTAAATAATTTGCCATATTCCCTTAGCACTGATGTTGCACATGTTGATGAAATATAAGCTAGAAATGTCAGATTCCCAAGCAGTTAACTGATGGTTCTTCAAAGCAACCAATCTGGAAACGTAAATCCAGTATACAAAATATTTTAGTCACCCTCCTGTTTCCTACCTTTTAGATGCAGGAGGGTGACTTCCCTGGGGTCCAGTGGAGGCTCAGCCTGATGGGAGTCAGAGTTCCCACACTGACTCCCTCCTCTTTTCCTCCCGTGCGGCTCTGTCTGATAGCTGGGAGGAGTGACCGTGGCAGTCACTTCCTCCCAGCAGTGATGCCATCAAAGGAGGCCCGGTCACGCTGTTAAGGTGCCGCAGTGCTGACCAGGCCCCCTGGAAATCCATAGGCACCCGATGGGCCCCTTCAAGTGCGGCCCTGGCGGTTTTACCACGTGGGCCAGGGCTGCAACACATGGCGGCGGTCACCTCGTTGCAGGGGTCCGCAGGGCGGCGGGCCCCCTGGAGTGGCAGGCCCGGTCGCAGCTGTGATCTCTGCATGTACTCCACTGCATGCAACTTTTGCTAGCCATGGGAAAAAAGCATGTAAATCTTTTTATCATAATCAGTACAATTTTTAACAAAATGTCTCATTTTGTAATATTTGTATTTTTCAGTGGGTCATCTTTCTAGAGTTAAGTTCAGTGAAATTATCAGCTCAATTCTGCTCTCTGTTGATCTCAAATGTCTGGTCGATTTATTTAGCAACGTCCATTGAATGTGCTCTAGAGCCTGATTTTTTGTGTGTTTTTTGGCATGATTATAATAGAAGTGTGTTTTTGTTTTAGGTTAATGAGGAAGGCAGCGAAGCAAGTGCAGCTACGGCTGTGGTGGTGACTGGCCGATCATTGAACATGAATCGAAATGTGTTTAGAGCCAACCGGCCTTGCCTTCTGCTCATTCGAGAAGTATCATTAAATGCAGTTATATTTATGGGTAGACTTTCCGACCCAGGTCAATAATACATTCAATATATAATATTACTGTTATGTAATAAACAGTGAGTATAATTTCTATCTCCCTTATTAGCCCCAACTAATAGAACAGGTTACAGTAATAAATGTATACATTATTATTATTATACAAAATCTTCAGTAATATCCTGCAACCACAACTCTAGCTGAACGTAGGCATGTTTGCCTGCTAAAGGCATACAATTTAAATCATTCTGTTTAAATGCAACAGAGTGCTTTTTCTTCTGACATACAAACAGTTGTCATTAATATTTTTTTTGAACTTTTTTTTTTTTATTCTTACCTTCATCTGGTGCCATTTTTAATAATTACACACCATGTTTGTTTTTTTCTTTCCTTCAAATCCAGTTTGTCTTAAGTAGCATAAATGTAATTTTAGTTTGAAATAAAATGTTATGGCTTGCATAGAAAACTGCTTAGACGTCCTGACTTAGATGACATTTGACACATGATCAAAATCTACTATTTAGCTATTTCATACATGATTGGAGTCTACCATTTACACTGTACTAAACTCATATTTGACTCTGGGTATCAACTACAGTTTACATAAATATATCACAGATCTATCATAGTAGAAAACAATTGTCACACTAAAAAATATTTTCCACTTGCTTTATTGCAAATTCTGTGTAATTTAGAATTTATCTTCTGCTCTGTTAAGACCATACAGGGGCCTTCTGTGTGTGATTAAAGTTCAATTTAAAAAGCAGGACATGACATAACTTCTAAAGTAAGTTTACATCGGTTTGAAACTGAAGCCATATTTTCTTTTAATGCAGGCTGTGTGCATTACAGCCAGAGGATGTGTGGTTTGGCCTGCATAAACAGAAATAAAAAAGTGATTTAACTCCTAAATTGCAGAGAATCGAGTAGTGGAAGTTCAGGGGCATGATCTATACGCAAAAACTGCTGTATTAAGCTAAAGTTGTTTTGGTGACTACAGTGTCCCTTTAAACATAAGACCATTCATATATTTCTTTCCTTAGGATTAATATATAACTGTGTAACCCAGGTACTGTCTGACTTAGAAAAAGCATTAACCCCTTAAGGACCAAACTTCTGGAATAAAAGGGAATCATGACATGTCACACGTCATGTGTCCTTAAGGGGTTAAAGCATTAAAAATATATTCTAATGTAGAATGTGTACATTTTTACTATTTCTATGTGGAAGAAGATAATATTCTTAGTTCCTTAAATTTGTAGCCATGAATACATTAAATTCATGATTACCTGATTATTTTCTTTTTAAAAGCAATCATACATTTTCTTGAAAATAGTCTTAATAATGTCATTTTTTTATATTAAAAGAAAATAATTAATATTTAACTTTTCCCAGTGAATCAGTGAACTGTTACCTCCATTTGTGCCTACTAAGTAAAATTGTTTGACAAAGTGTAGCCCAGACTTTCAACAGTAAATGTAATTTAGTATATAATAAGTACATGGATTTCAAAGAAAACACGCATATTCAAACAAGAGAGATGCACAGTATTCAGATGTATTAAGTTAATTACTGCAATTAAATGCGATTACAGAAAAGCATTAAGTTTCACAGTCTTATACAAGATGTTTGTAAGTCCAATAAAAACATTGTATAAATAAATGTGCATGACATATGACAATTTGTATTTATTTTGCAGGTTTTTGTAATCATGAAAGTAATTTTTTACTCAAACAGAAAGCAGACATCAAATGGTTAAAAAAAACGAACTAGGGGTCTTTTAGGGGAATAAACCTTATTCTCAAATACATATTGTTTTTATAAATACTTTATTTCCTGAGCATGCAATGTTAGTTTAACCAAAGTATGAGATTGTTCATTAGAAAAAGTTGTACTGGATGAGACCGTGAACTGGAGAAAAATAAAATATGTAACTTGGTATGTATTACACTATTCCTTGGCTTTGCCTTTTTTAGTCCAATTTTATTTCCCGTTTTTTTTTTAATATCACAATATCCAGAGGAAGTAAAACAAGGAGTGTATCCGCAACATGGCTGATAATCACCATCTAGTCCGAAGATGGATTCAAAGAGATATGCCTACATAAGTAGAATTCAATGATTTGCGCAATGTTACGAGCGAGGACTACTATGCTCTCGCATTGGAAGAGTATCTGGGACATATTTGTCCAATATGAAACTGCTTTTAAGTACTTTTTTATATTGGAGTTAGAGCCTGCAATAAAATTATTATGCACAGTTTTATTCTCACATTTGCCCAGCAGGTAGAGCAGGGGTGTACAGTTTTAAACTGATTAAATATAAATTGTACAACAACAACAAAACAAAAAAAGCTATGGAATGGAGGATAAAATAATTTTCCATGTCTTTTGGAGGTGTACAGCAGATCTATGGATTGCGTAATGATTTTTTTTTTTTTTAAATGTGGCATCTACGATATTGCAGTTTTAATAAGCATTTGTCCTTGTGTCTTTATAGTTGACCCCTATAGGTATATATTGTATTATTATGTAAGGTCCAATAGGGAGATAAAGGACGTTTAATGAAAAATGGAGGTAGGATGACTTTCACATTTAATTTTATTTACAATATGCCCATTATTATTATTGACCTTTTTTATATAAACTGTTATAAAAGGTATAAATATACATTTATAATAAGTTGAGTGAAGACGTAGATGTGTACTTCTGAGGACTGCTGAATTCACTATTCATACAAGCACCTAATCATATATCAAGAGTGTTCAGTACTGGTTGAACTACATATTCCACAATTCTCTGGAGGGCAGAAAATTATTTGGAATGTAGTGCACCATCTGATTTACGGCCAAGGCTGGACGAACCTTCTAGAGACAATGCCTTTCCAGAACGGATTCATCCCTTCATTCAGCTCATCCTTATAAAGATGAGCAAAACTAAACTGAAATGTTCATGAAAAAAGGTTTCAAATCAAATATGTGATATATATCAAATATTTTATACATATATATATATTAAAAAAAAGACAATTCATAAATCAATTCCAAAGGCACGATGCTAGATAGAATATTCTGGCCTAACTGTAACCAATGTTTTCCGAAACTTTGCAATGTTAGAACTCGGTGCTAACAATACACCAATATAAAAGACTTTTAAATCAGAACAATAATGTTTAAAAGAAACCATGCATTCTGTTTCAGCTGGGAATTATGCAGATAGTTTTAAGTTATTCTACGCAGTAGCTCATTCATTATTCTTTGTAATTAAAAAATGGCTAACCTAACCAATTAAGTGGATCTGTAAGTTATCAAACCTTTACATTAGGAAGACCTATATTTCTACTTAAGTAACTGCTTGTCATTTTATGTGCATTGCATTGTACAGACTGTTCTTGTTGCTGTAGTTTAGCTGATAAAGTCTTTTTGGGCTTGAATTGTTTTGTTGGAGGCTGTAAATGACTGGAATTGACATGGAAAGGAATCCTGTAATTGTACAAAGTTTTGATGAGGCTGAATGTAGTGAAACTTTAGATATTTTTTTTTTTAAAGGCAGTTCTCCGTGAATTTAGAAATAGCAAAAACTAAGCGAGCTTTAACCAGTAAATGTAAGAAGCAAATGAGAAACATGTAATTACACATCCAATTATTATTTATTTTTCAAAGGAATAATTGACATGACTTCACACCAATCTAGCTGCACATTGCCACCTTCTCATCAGTTTCAATCCTCCCAAATGTGAAAAGTATAATTAACGATTGTGCTGCATTTAAGATTATATTCCATGAGCTGTCCTGAATAAGGCAAGGATACTTAGGCCAATTAGGCCCTAAAACATTGGACATAAGTGTTGGAACACCCCAGGTAAATGAAATAGATTAACATACTGGTGTTTAAAACTACCTAGTGATTCCAAGAAATCAAGGCAAGTAGGTTAACCCTCCTGGCTGGAAAGTGTGTACCTCTGGAATATGACTGATAGGCGCACTGAAAGAGTAAAACGCTGGCACTTGGGCTTCTCATTTATGGTTTCTTCATTCAGGCGTGAAATAATTTAAAATGTTCCAATAACCTTTAGTCTCTCTTAAAGGACCACTATACGCACCCAGACCACTTCAGCTTAATGAAGTGGTCTGGGTGCCAGGTCCAGCTAGGGTTAACCCTTTTTTTCTATAAACATAGCAGGCTGGTTAATCCAGCCTCTAGTGGCTGTCTCATTGACAGCCGCTAGAGGGCTTCCGCGCTTCTCACTGTGATTTTCACAGTGAGAAGACGCCAGCGTCCATAGGAAAGCATTATGAATGCTTTCCTATGAGACTGGCTGAATGCGTGCGCGTGCGGCTCCTGCCGCACATGTGCACTCAGCGGGAGAGGAGGAGGAGAGCTCCCCGCCCGGCGCTGGAGAGGTAAGTTTAACCCCTTCCACCCTCTAGAGCCCGGCGGGAGGAGGACCCTGAGGGTGGGGGCACCCTTAGGGCACTATATTGCCAGGAAAGAGAGTATGTTTTCCTGGCACTATAGTGGTCCTTTAAGCCAATATATAAATAAAAAAGTGGAAGGAAATCGTAACGGTGTTAAATAAACACTCCAATGAGGTTGTTAAGGTATGTGGTGTATTCCTTTAAATGGTCGAGGATTGATCACCCATTCAGCTGTGTTATCCTAAAACTGGTTAGTGAATTTCAACCGAGGTCTGGATTGGGGGAAATAAAAAAACAGAAAAAAACACCAACTAATGAAAAAGCCTGCAAACTTGTTCTTGTGAACGACTTTAGAGAAGGGAATATGAAACACAAGTTAATTTGTCATTTATTATGTTTTGTATTGTCTTTTTTTCCCAAATACTTACCGGTTTTACTTTTATAAGTAAAAATGGAACTGTATCCTGTATGTTCTGGTAAAAAGTGTTCTGTTCTTTGCCACCTTGCTAATAAAGTAGGAATAAATTAAAGGAAGAGCCTCAGCTCTCATGGTGTATTCTACCTTTCAACTAGCCCTGCAATAATGTGGGACTGCATTACAGAATCATTGCAGCGGTTATATTCCTATTTAAAATGCTATATCTTTGATAGAACACAAATATTTCAAAGACCTTTTTCCATAATCACACAATGTGTTTATCTTTTGGGAATCAAAAACATTGTTCTACGCACATACATAGAGTGTACATGTTGGTAGTGGCCTTCATTACAAATATTCAGCCCTATATAACAGAGTCACTTCATAACCAATGTCAGCATAAACACAACATTTCTATTGAGCTTTAGATGCTCTCGGCCAACCCATGCTGGCCAAACATGTACAAAATGAATATGGGTAACTTCTACATTAGCAATACGGACAGACATGGACTGAGCCCCATGGGACATTGAAAAAGGTGTGGAACAGAACTGGGTGATGTTTATAGGGGCCTGCTAGCACCATAACAACTATAATGGATTCTTACGGTCATGGTAACACTGCCTCTTTAAGAACCAATGAAGGAACTAGTTTTAAAATGGAATTCACTACTCATTTAATGTCAGCAAGGCTATAGCTATCCGTTAATAATCATGATCTTCAGGGAACATGTGTTGACCGTATATGCAATCGGAAAATGGTTTTAATATATCAGCAATCCTTACTTGATTCTCTACAAGCATGCATGGCCATTTCTCACAATAATGCCATCAGAATTCTCAGCATGATGATTATATTAGCAGAAATGAACACACATTTTGTTATGGCTCACTAAAATGATTGTAATGCGGACCCATTCATTGCAATAGTGTGACATTACTAAAAAAATATTGGGTCCTCCATCGTGTCATGTACTCCTATATTTGTGTATAACATCTGAATGTTGTCCATGAGCCTGTTTATATTTACTAGGTATTTTAAGCAGGATGGCTTGACCCCTTCTCATTTTAAGTTCCCCTTTCCTCTTTTTCTGTCCTAATTCCCTACACATATCTCAATGGGTTTCCGTTTACCATTCCTTTCTGTTAAGCGGAGTTAATTCCAATTCTGTTTCCGTATTCATTCTCTACCCCTCCATGCCAGTAATAACAGTACTTCTTCCTACATATCAGGACCTCCTCTTCATTCTGCAATTCCATATAACCATACCTTCTTAACAAATCAATACCAGCTGTGCCCAGTCATGGCCTCTACAACAACAAGATAAAAGGCACAAATGTAGCTAGGGGTAATCAGTAAATGCAATTGTTCAAGTGTTGCAATGGGCCACACAGAACAAACAATATTAGGGTGGCAGTGGGCCAGTTAGAACAAATGCAGAAGTACAAAGTTTAGTTTTACAGGGTCAGCACTGATTTGTAGTTAGACACGTCAGGTGAGAAGTTTCCAAGTTGGTGTGTGATATGCTCAGGAAAAGGTGATAATGATATTGCAATCAGGCTTATACTGAATTTCACAAACATAGCCGTAATATCAGAAATTAGGTCAGAAAATGTATTATTTCAGGAAAAAAAAACAAAAAACCTTGCCCCTTCTTGCAATTGTGGTGACACCCTTCTTATTTCCATTCCTATTTCATTGTGTACTAGATCTCTGAGCTTCGATTCGCTCACAGCAACGATTTAATACACACGGATGGAGTCCAGTTAGACAAACATTTGGGGTAAGTAATAGCTCATTCAAGGAGGAGTTTAAAATGTCAATCAAGCATGGAGCAGCTGGTTAATTACACAAAAGGGAACAGTCACTTTTAAAAAAAAAGAAATTACACCAGTTGAATAACACTGAAAATGACCTATAACTAGTGTTAACCCTTTTGTTCATGTGATGCTCAGTTTTAGAATACATCAAAGATTTAGCAACTGACACCACAATCCATTTCAGTCCTGGCACAGGCAGTGCATATACTGCATTGGAGGAGAAGGAATAGAAACTTTTTTGTTTTTCATTGTAGAAATAGGCATAGCTTACAATGATTGACAAGGAGCCTACTATGGAGGCACTCAGTTCCAGGTTGAGGCTGTGTGGATCTTAATATTTTAGTTGATTTTTCGGAGCTCAACACACATACTTGTTAAATATAGTGATGCACACAAAAGAGAGTCGGGGGTATGTTCATAGGGTTTATTGACATGCACAAAAGTAATCACTCATCAGGAGTGAAGTTTGCTTTCATATATCCAAACGTTCAGTTTATCAAACAGGGTGCTTGATGTAACTGATAATGTGTTAATGATTTTATTTACTGGAGTATCTTTTCCCATCTGTTATAAAAAACATTACATATTGCCTAGATTTTCTACTTCAATAAACATAACATAAAATCCTGAAAAAGTGACTGTTCCCTTTTAACTGTTATCTTTTGAATTCGCCCTTTAGTGATTATTTTAAATGGAATTAAATAATAAGCTATAAAGATAGAGGGCAGAGTGCACGTTAGTTTCGGTCCCTTAATTCATGTTGCACAAGGTGTGTAGAGGAAGCATGAAACTGTTACCATAAAACATGTCTGAGAAGTAAATCAAGCCATGTCAGACAGTAGTAAGCACCAGACCCGATAACAAAAATTTATGTTTCACATAAAGATATTGATCCTTAACCCTTGTCCTATGATTAAGGCCTATAACTATAAAAAAATTAATCCAGCTTTGTAAAAAATCAACAGCCTTCATACTGTAGAAAAAAGAAAAATGTGGGATTATGGTGAATTACTGAAAAAGCTGTATACTGCTTTAGGGAGATATGACATCTCTCCTCTAATGGAACACTCGAAGCACCATAACCACAACAGCACGCTACACTGTAACTAATCAGTTTTAGAACGGCCTGACTTCTTACCTGGAGTCTGTTGCATGCTTATACCTGCCGCCACTATTTGCAACAGTGAGCCAGAAGCTCTCAGACTGAGCTAAGCCACACAAAGCAGCACTTATCTCATTTAATCAACTGATGCTCTTGGCCAATGAGCTTGCCCTGCACTGACTAAGCAGGAGCCTTCAGCTCTTCTGGTGGCAAAGAGGAGGCAGGGAGCTGCGTCCAGTGGATCCCAGGTAAGACATCAAACATTCTAAGCCAGGTTAACTACTTACAATGGGGGCGCCAGAGCACTCCTGGCACCATAACTGGTGATGGTTATGGTGATTGGAGTGTTCTTTTAAATTCTTGTATAATAATAACAGCTCAGGAAGAGGTAATCTTAATTACTAAATATGCCATCCCAGGATTATGAGAACATCTATGCCCATGTGCTTTGATCTGTCTTATGATTTTTATTTTGTTGCTTGGCGACTGTTATCCTGCCTCCCACAGAAAAGTAACACATAGGATGTTTGGAAGGCATTTTCATTTTATTTTTTAACATTGATGCTCATCTGTCCATTGGAAATCAGAGATAGCTATCATGGAAAACAATTATTTTGCCTGCTGTTGCGTATTTGTCCTCTATGCAAGGCAATGCCCAAAGACCAAATGATCTGCAGAAACCTAAGCAAGAATCTACCCCTTGGTTGGGTTTCTGACTTAAATTTTTATGTTTAATAAAATGCACCCACCCTCTAGTTACCCTCTGGTAGTGCTACCAAGCCATCAATTTTGGGACATAATTGAGAATCTGAACCCTACTATTACCAACTTGCTGCCTACCGTGAACTGACACAGGACGTGCACAGTGACCTTCCAATTTGTCACACTTAATGCTAACCAAGTAATAACTTCAGGCTAGCAAAACTGAGTAAAACACAAAGAGATGGGGGTAGCGAATTTGAGGTGTTTTAATGGGAAAGGGTAAAAGTGTGTGGGTTGTAGTAAACAGAACGTGGTTCAGTTGCAGTATGTAAATTAGACTGAGTGATCAGTGTGAGGGAGGATTAAAGGTTGTGGTACACCAAATACTGGCTGAGCACTGGAGGAAATGCAGCCCGTATCAGCTGGAAAAAAACAAATGCTGTCTATTCTGTGATAAAAGTGTATGTGTGGGATATATGAACCTTTAACAGTCGATAAAATGAGCAGTTAGCAAACTCCCTTCGTACTGAGACCTGACACTGTTAGTCTGTCTCTAGCATCTCTACAAAAAAAATTAAGAACCAAATATGAGAAACATTACTCAAACTACACCCATAATGCACATATTATATTCTCATCACACCTGACAGTAATCTCTCACATCCTTTATCCACCGGTCACCATTACCATATGCAACACTCACATCAACCAGATACAGCCTCATAACATACAACATTCACATGCATTACCTATATAACACAAATTACATGTCTGTCACATACAGCATCTATTCCTAGTAACTGTGACGATATGAATAGGTAGCTGTAATAAACAAGAAACATGGCAGTTGGGGAGAAAGTAGAAGGAACACAGGCTACAATTTCCTCTTCTTTGTCCCCAGTTGCCTTTGTTCTGATTCGATGTACCCTGCTGGTAGATTTCTATGCCAACTCTTTGCTAGATTTTCTATTTCTGGCAGAACCGGATTTCCATGGCTGCCAACCCTTTCAGTCTCCCCACCATCACCTATTCTAACAGCTGCAAACATAGAAGTACACTGAAGGCCTGGCAGATGGTAACACTAACAGGGTTACTTACTAGAATGAGAATTCCAAGGTTAAGGTCAAAGCAGCCAAATGGGAAGCATTCTCCAAGTCAGCTATGCTCCCAGATTGACTACTGTGGCCTTAAATTTGAAATTCACTCCAGTGAATAATCCTGTGAAAGTGATATGGAATTTATATGGATGGCTACAGGGACTATCTGCCCAAACAGTTATTGAATAAAACAGATGCATATTCATAGAGAGGGAGTTAATTTAGGATGGGCCGTCGCCTAGATAATATTAAATGTGGCCCTCGCTATAATTAGTCAGATATAATAATATAATTAGTTTGAAGGCCTTGTCTTGACATCATAATGGTTTATAATCCAATGCACTGATTTCTAAGAACGGTAATTAGACTAATGGGAACACACTGAGCACAGTGAATTTTGATAATATAGGTGGCGACCACCTATCACATAATAACCTACAAAGGAAAAGCAGTTTAAGAACATGAAACAAGCCACACCTTTTCCACACTATTGTATACCACATTGTATTTAATGTCAACTTTTCTTCATGGTAATTTCATTCAAAACATGTTTTGCACTGTATAAAATTGAAGGGATTATGGCAACGGTGGACTGCTCATATTTCACCGTAATAACAACCGTTTGCAGTGGATACATTTTTCCCTCCACTGAAACCTTGATTAATGGTAATTTTGAAAAGGACTGGGAAGCACATTTTTAAATGAAGGGCTTTATTCACTGCAGATGGATTCTGATTTCTGTGCAGTTTCACAAAAAGGTCCCTCAAGTACTCACCTCTCTGCTTCCTCTGAGGTCACCAGTTTCAGTGATTAATCCTGGCAATAGAGTAAAGTAAGATCAGTGTGCACATACAGCATACGTAACCTATACTCCCAATACTATCTTTTTTACAGCTGTGCTTTGAACTGAATCAACCTGGAACTGATAGCATGGAAAGCTGGACAATGTAGGGTACCTATATCATAAAAGGGTGTGAGCCAGGTACAAGGCATGTCTCTCTGAAAGCCAGATGCTAACAATAAAATAATAAATATGGTTAGATTTATGGTTACTTATAGCATTAAGGGTTTCAATGTTAGCACAAACACAGATAAACCTTCCGTGATAGTTCAAGTGGATTTTTTTTTTTTTAAAACCAATCTGCTTGGTATACAATCATTTCCTTGTATAAATCAAATTTTATAACAGTAGTGATACTACCTAAACATTTTACAATGCATTGAAAGATTCTAGGACAATTACAACAGTTATTCACTCCAAGCAGACATGATTATTGCAGTGATACATTACTGCAGACTAACTTCTCCTCTAGGATAACCAGCGCCTTACAAAATAAGGCCAGCATGTACTTAAAGTGCGCTTTTACAAACTGTTACAAAAAATGTTTCTTCAAATGTTTTTTTTTTGTGTTTTTTTTGTAAAGGAGTATAAAGTTTTCTATGTATCAATGGCAAAATAAATAAAAGATCCACCATTCGATATTACAGGCAGGGAACAGCTGGAAACAATTCACAAAAAACAATAACAACCCAACCCACTTTCTAAGACCCTGGTAACTCTTCAAAATGTCACAGGCCAATGTCAACATCAAAAAGGACTTCTATGGGGCAATATCTAGAAAGAAATTCTAATCAATGTGGATGGCCCAATTTTTCACCCGGATGACTTCCCTCTCGCAGTCATAATGTGGTGCCTAAAATTGCTAAATAGTATTTTAAGGACGACTGTTAAGAAAATCAAACCTTGCTTTGTACGATGAACCACACAAATATATCTCTTGGAAATCAATTTTTAAAGCGCTTAAAACCAAACACTTCATGCAGCTACTACAGGAAAGAAACCCCCGACCCTCTACAACCCATTCCATTGCACAATTCCAAAATCTAAGCCAAGAGGTACATAGTACTATAGTGAAATAAAAACCTGAGTTGTATTAAGTGTATAGGGTCTCTTCTAATCAATCCCTGCAAACTGTGATTGCAGACAAAGTGGACGTCTCCATACCTCATTCTGCACTGAACTAGCCTTAAAACAAACATGCAAACATCAAAAATGACGAGGAAAAAAAATTATATTAAAGAACCATACTTTAAAAGTCAAATCTCTTTAAATAAATGCAAAGAGCTTTCGTTAGCAGAGAAACATGTATCCAATCCAGTAATGAAGGTTAAGGGGACTGTGCAGACTGGATTCACAACCTATTTATGCATTTTACAATGAATGCATTAAAATTCATTTTGTGTAGATTTCTTTTTCCAAAGTCAACACAGTATTTTTGATTGACTTTGCATTAAGTCAATGAAGTGAGATTCATATACGGTTACTTACTGTCTTATTTTGTGCTTAACCTAAATAAAATGGACATTCCTGGATGAAAATGTACAAAACTCATGAAAATCTGATAAAATTGCTGCGTTTTCCCCATCAAATCCATCTATTTTGGTTTTCATGAGCAAATTATTATTTTAACCCACACACTAGAAGTGGCTCACGTATATATCCTATAAATTGCTGCTATGCAAGATATTAGGGAAATGTACAAAAAGACCATAACTGGCGCATACATCTCAGCTATTTCCTGGTTGAAGAGGAAGTCAGGGTATAAGAATCAGAGATTGGGGATTTGCTGTAAAACAAGGTAAACGTGGCGATTTGTTACTTTTTTCTTTCATATATCAAGCATTAAACTTGAGTGGTATCACTACTCAGGAGGAACCTTTAATTATAAAGTATAACTAAAATATTAACAATAATTTTGATAAATTAAACAGGAAGAATTAAAAGTTAAAATTAAAAAAGCAACTTATTTTGCAACAAATTCCTTGGCTCTGATCCTCCCACACTAAATGAAACCAGGAAATGATAGCTTTCTCCTGGATCTCCCATTCATTCCTATGAGTAAAATCACTGAACGTAGATGTGTGTATAATGACACATATTTGCACAATCACCAGTTCCTTACAGAAATCAATAATGGTCACATGATCACGTGTAATGCAGCCAGCAGCAGTATCTTATTAACTTCAAAATACAATGTAATTAGAATGAATAGCACCGCTGAATATGACATGGTCACAAGTGGATTTCATTTATTTTTGTGAATAAGATACTGTTCCTTGAAGTATTGCACATGCCTTGGTGGAAAGTGATATGCATGTATTTAAGGAAAATACATAGTGGAAGGGGCTCCAAACTTATCTTGAAAGTATGAAACTAAGAAGGTGAAACAACTGTGAAGGCCTTTTGCAAAGCTCAAGCCACTAGAATCAAAAGTCAGCGCTAATGTTCACATGATGACTATAAGGATGCATGGTTGAATGTCAGGCTCCTGGTGTATTCCTTTAAAGCGTAATGCTTCAGACCTAAGGCTCAGTAAGCGTCTGATTATTGTCACATATCATTAGTCCTAAATGGTTTAAGACACCAGAGACCTGCATTATAACATTTAAAAAAAAAAAAAAAAAAAAGAAGAAAATACTGAAACTGTTTCAAATTAATGTGGACTTATGTTTTTGAATACTGTCTGTTTGCAGACAGATGTATTAAAGATACATTTAATAAGCCTCATTACTAAAAATACAAATTATAATCTAAAAAAAAATAAAAAATAAAATTAAAAAGTGAACGAAATAAAGAGAAACGTGAAGGTGCCAGTACAGATTTGTGGTGCTTAGAAGCTCCTTATAATTATTTAAATAAAAATAATGAAAGGATGTTTCTGGATTTTAAAAACTGGTTTGGAACACTATTTGGGTTAGTTGATTATGGTTATCAGGAATAAAGAAATATTGAATCTACCACATAAAGTCAAATACTATAATCTATTGTTTAAAATCATAGCGTGAGGAAAAGGGAATTTTACTTGGACCAAGCTTTACAATCCTGATATCCATCCTAAATCAAAGCAGAATTTTTTGGGTCCATCGAAATTCATATAGGGGAATTCTAAAGGTAATTCTGTAGCATGACAGGTCAATCAATTAGCTCTATTAAAATGTAGGTCAATATACTTAGTCTGTCTTATTTCATGTAGTGCAACCTGACAACATTTTTGATTAGGTTTTCGATTCATCACTAATGAGTTAGAATAAGAACTTTACTCCCTTCTTAGATTTTGTGGAAAAATTCCCTGAGCTTGCTGTGCTAGCAGCTCCAAGCACCTTAAATTCTTCTTCTCTGCATTATCTAAGCGTTTAAAATGTCTGCAGAATCAAATACAACACTCGCCAAGCGTGTATCGGAAGAAAGCCCTAGCATTAAACAACATGCTGTTTCTCAAAAATTCTAAATTCCAACACGTACAACCAGATGTCCTTTAGTCTGTGTGTAAGGGAGAAGAAAGAATTATTCACCCAAAAAAATGTTTTTTTAAAAATCTGTAGCTTAATTTCCTAAGTCTGAAATAAAATATAGCAACTGTTATTTACTTCAAGTCTGGATGAATAAGAAGAAAAAGGAAAATCAGAGGAAGATAATACAGGTTTTCTTTGCTGCTTTTGGCAATAAAAAATAAAATAAAATCACTCTTTAAAACATCCAACTGTTGCTTGAATTCGATTTACAACAAAAGCCTCAGATCCTGCTTAATGATGTCCTGTGTGTGAAATAGAGAGTAACAGCAAAGGATGATGAATAGTGAGGGATTGTTGAGGTATAGGGGAGCATATTAGTCTCTCAATGTCCGCCTTTAGCATATGCTCTGGTGGTTTTAATCTGGACCTGTAGTGGACACAGAACCATGAGTTGTCTCGCCTCCATATGCCGCCTCGGCATTTGCTGAGGGAGCCACACCTCCTCCTTCGTCATGAGGAGGAGATTCTTCCCCAGCTGGACCTCTAGAGGTAACAACACTGGTGGTTTCAGGGGAAATGCTGTGAGGTCCCTCAAGGGGAACACAACCAGGATGGTTCTTTCGAAAGTGCTGATTGAGGATGGCCTGGAAGGGGAAGCTTTTCCCACACACATGGCAGTGGAAGGGTTTGTTACCCGTATGCTTCCGGATATGATATTCCAGCTGATCCTTGCGAGTGTATTTCTTTCCACACATCCGGCACACGAAAGGAGTGATACCCATGTGCAGCCGCATGTGTCGGTCAAGACTACCCTTCTGGTTAAAAGACTTTGCACAGTAGATGCAAGTGAGACGTGGGTTATAACGGAACCATCTCTCTGATACCTCTTGCTCACGGAGATATTCTACATAACCACTTACTCCAATAACACCGGTTTCGTCTCCCTGCAACGGAAATAGATAACATATATCACACTTTTATGGACCTAGTATTTGAATTTGAAATGGATGTACAAAGATGGAACTATTGAAATTCTAATTCAAACTAGATGTGTACACCACGCTGTCTAGTGTTTGTAATGCATACATGCTAATTTGGGTGAACATAAAAAGCAATTATCTCACAATTATAGATTATTTGGATGTTACAAATATTTTAATACTGCGAGTGGAAAAATATCCAGGATGCGAACAATATGTCCTTTAGATTTACAAAGCCTTTAAAAGCATTAGAATTGGTTATAAAAAAACAAAAAAAAAAAAAAAAAACACCTAGAATTTGTTGTCCCTATTTGGATATATAATCTACATTTCTGTTATACAGGGTGTATTTCTGAAGAATTTCACTGCCTCCTCTAAGATGACAGCCAAACGTATAAATTGTGTTACTCAGCAAAGCTTCCAGCTTAGCTACGTGGGTCTTACATTTGAAATTCACTTAGAATTTCTGACAAGTCTCACTTTAGTATAGTATATAACCCATATAGATTAAATTTCACTTATCTGTGCATCTTTACCTATGTTTTCCCTGCTGTGGAGCGATTCACCAATTAAGGAAACTGTCCAAATCTAAAAACAGCATGGTTGTAATCTTTGTGTTGCACTTTTAAAGAGATTATTCTGTTACATGTATCACAATTCTCAGCATGCAAATGAAAATGAAAGTTCTATTTCAGAACCTTCTCTGCTGGTTTCATGATATTTTGATTTGGGGATTGTAGTTATTGTTTTGGAGACATGAATCCTGCCAAACACATGTTAATCACTGACCTGGGAGCTGTGCTGTTTCTGCTCCTCTATCCTCCTCGGAGACTCGCTCTTTGCTCGATGTCGTTCTGTCATAGTGACCATGCTACCAGATGGGCTGAATCTTAAGTAGGACATGGAGTGAGAAGCAGTAATCAAGTAATGGTCATGAATACGTTAAGCACAGGTTAAAGTCTTGAAGGAAGAATAAAATGTATAGCTTGCTGTGAGGGCCAGATATTTGGTCTTCCATTCAGTATGGAACATATTGAAAAGTACAAAATGACATTGCCTAACTATGTAAATGTATGTGGCCTTCACTATCTATATAGCACATTGGTGGCACCAGGGATACCCCCTGCATAGCTTGGGGTCACAGCCATCTTAGCATAATGTGACCATGTGTCCTACTCGAACATGAACATAGACAAAGAATACAAGGGACATTTAAACAGTTGTTGGACCTTATATCTATTAAGTTCTTATACAAAATCAGCCAGTCTGCATTAGTTGGCTGAGATCTGTTGCTGTCTAGAGGACTGTACCAACTATCCCAGTGAAAATAAGTTGGCAACATGCGCTACGCAGCATGCACAGTGGGTGAACTGTGGGTGTTTTTCAGCTGTTTTTCCCTGCATGAAGTTCTGCCCCCATAAAGTGCTGCCTGGTCCCACTCAGGCAAAAAATGCAATTCTTAAAGGGACACTATAGTCACCAGAACCACCACAGCCTGATGTAGTTGTTCTGGTGACTCTATACCTTGCAGGCCTTTAAGTGTAAACTCTGCCTTCTCAGAAAAAAGTCAGTGTTTACATTGCTGCTTAGCATCACCTCTAGTGACAGTCACTCAGACGGACACTAGGCAGTCGTGGGTCACCCATGTGCAGCACCGACGTTCAGGTTCTCCAAGGTCTGCATGGAGGCGCTGAATGTTCCTCATAGAGATTCATTAATTCACTGCATCCCTATGAGGAGATGCGGATTGGCACATTTACTGCGCATGCACAAAATCCTCCCAATGCTTTCCTAAGGAAAAGCATTGGCTTAGCTGAGATCACAAAGATTTATAATCTCAGCCATAGCGAAAGTGGCAAGGCGTGGGAAAAAAAGGTGAGTAAAAACACCTTCCTCATGCGATTTGGAGGGGGCAAGTACCTAAACGGGCGCGCACACACATTCTGACAGGTGCACACATACACACACTGATGACAGGCTCACGTGCGCACACACACTCAGTCACTCACTCACTCTGACAGGAACAGACACACACACACTCTCACAGACAGGCTCACACTCACTCAGACAGGCTCTCACATACATTTTTGTATTAATTGAAAACCACTTAGCTCTCTGTAATGATTCCGGGGCCGGAGTGACGTCATGTTCCGGCTCCTGGCATCATTAAACAGCGCGAAGGAGCAGAGAGGAGCTGCAGTGAGAGTATTGTTAGTTCGCGCACAACCTCCTTGCTCCTGCGGGCGGCACCATGCTGCCTCAGCGGCCGCCTCCATGCTCACGCAGGTGGCTGGCTCTCTGCTGCCTCGGCCGGCCGCCTCCTTGCTGCCTCAGCCAGCCACCTCCTTGCTCAGGCGGACGGGCTGCTCCATGCTGTCCAGCGGCTGCTGCCTTCAAAACTCCCTCGGCAGCCACATATAAAGAGCTGGCAAATCCCAGGCACCAGGGCGAAATTTCTAGTCACCGTGACGACCTGGCGCCTGGGATTTGTCGAGCCATGCTTTAGTGCATAACCCTGTAAATTACAATGATTGTGCGGCTGCATATAGAACTAATAATTCTAAATCCACAATAGTCTTGCATTACTGTGCTTTATTTTGTCAAAGTTCTCAGCTGATTTTGCTTGGCTAACAGCTGCACATTATACAATTGCGTGTATCATTATTCCATGTGGATAATTTGTCTGCAAAATACAGTGCTGGTATATTTATCCATTCAGCTGAGGATGATCCATCCATTCAGGATGAAGTGGGAGGAGGCGCGTACACCCCCAGGAGTAGCAAGCAGTGATTTAAAGTGTGACTTGGCGGGGTGGTTATAGCACTTTGTATTAGATGTATTTTAATTGTCGGTCCCTGAGAAAGTCCCAAGAAGGAGGAAACAGGTAAGACCCATTTTTAATTTTAAAGGGATTTTAATAAAAGTAATTTCTAAACACCTATACCCTAGTAGAGTGCCTTGTTTCTAGGAAGCTGAACAGCCTTTGAACAAGCGAAGTGGAGAAACCTGAAGGGAATTTGGCAACCAAATTTTCAGGGGAGTTACTCTTGTGTGCTAGAACATCAGAAATTTTGTGCAATATTGTATACATAAATTATATTACGCAATGTTATGTTTCCTTTGGTTTTAGGCTACAGCTGATTCCCTATGTATGTTATGTCTATTAGTACTGGTATATACTACCATGTCAACACTTCCATGTATAATTTTAAATGGAATGGAAATACACTGCACACAGAACAAAAGGGCCTGCAATTATTTTGTGGGATGTATATCTAGTAATATTTAAACTCACCTGTCTACGTCACTGCTTGTTGGCCTGGATACTTTTGTGCTAGATGATCCCAAGCTGTAGTTCTCCTGCCCAGTAGAACTATGTCCTGTTGTGTCGATCATCATGGCAGTCACTTCCTCTGCACTGCTGCCATCCTCACCAGAAGGCTGGTTCTCCGGCCCAAGCCATTCATCTAGGTTCTCAGTCTTGATACGGAGGCCTCCCATCACCCTCACCTCATCATCACTACGCTCTCCACGGTCTGCAGACCCTGTCTCCACATACCATTGCCCTGCCCGGTTGATACGTAGAATTGGTTCCCTGCTCTCCACATCCGATCCCTGCTCCGCCATTTGAGGACTGGTGGACTCCTCAGCTGGACTCAACTCCCGAATGTCCAGAACTGTGCTTACCTGCCCTCTTCGAGTGCCTGAGGTTCGTGGTGTGCTGTGACGTGGACTTATGGAACAGCTTAGGCTCTGGCTAACACGATTGGAATCTTGAACTCTCTCCGTATGCTTTGGCCGGCTTGGACTTCGCTCTTCTTCAGATTCTGGAGAACTAATCTTCAAGTGGATACCCTCTAGGATTTGAGTGCACTTGTCGATAATATGTTGCATCTGCAAAAAGCTTGCGGCTGTTAGGTAGCTGATAATGTCAGCAAGTTGCAGACAGATCCGGCCCGTGTAACAGAAAGTAAGAAGCTGCTCAAAAACCCCAGGGTTTTTGATGACTGAAAGCGAGACAGCGCTCATCTCGTTTAGGGACATGTGATCCCGGAAATAGGGGGAACTGGCAGCTAGCACAACTTTGTGAGCGCGGAATGTCTGTCCCTGCACATTGACCACAATGTCACAAAGGCGACCTTGCATTCGCAGTTGGTTGAGATGGCTCAGTACAGAGTTGCTGTACTCCGGGATCTCCAGCTGTATGTTACCTCCTTTCTCCATGGCTGCCCCTATTTCAGGCACTCAACCCTGCAGAAACCAAAAGTAATATATTAAATACACATGCCTTCTAGCATTTCAAATTACATTAGAGAAACTTTATTATAGTGGTGTGGCCGGAGGTGTCAGATTCACTTTAACATAAATTCACACTGAATACAGAATTTATTACATAGATATGGATGTATTCAGTGTGAAATATTTAAAGTCACTTCTCCTCAAATCTGGCACCTCCGTGTGCTCAGCTTCGTGGGTCACCCTTGCTCTCCTTTCATTTACCCTGCATGGAGACAATACCCTAAGCAGGGCAAACCATCCTTATAACTCTGACTTCATTGCCAACATCAGAACGGAGTAACATCAGTCACTCTGTTGCAACAGTCCCTAGCTAGCAGTGTTAATTTTGTCGACTAACAATTTTAGTAAAAAAATATTTGAGATTTAGTCGACTAAAACAATTCAGAGGACTAAAATACAACTAAAGCTAAAATGGCTTTTTAGTCAAAAGACTAGGACTAAAACTCAATTGAAAGTTGCTGCCAAAATTAACACTGCTAGCTAGCCCTAGGAGCATCAGCTAGGGAGTAACCAAAACAACCACACAACATGCACTGTTGTTGCTATAATGGAGAGCTGGAAGTCTCTTCTGCTCTCCCTGTCACTCAATTCATCAACACAGAATTTCCCTGAGTTTCTTTTTCAACAAGGGACTTGATTGTAACTGCATACTATAGTACTTTTACTTTAAACAGACAGTGTCAAAATGTGATGCATACATATTTCATCCTTGCTTGGAAACTCAGATTAGACAACCATTATGGCTTTTGACTCCACACATACAATGGGAAGTTTACCCCCTCACTCCCTTTGTCATACTAGCGCTCTTAGCTGGGAAAGTAAGCTAATGTCTATACACACAGTCAGGTACAAATATTACATAGTACCACTGTTGCCAATAAAAACAAAACAACATATGTAATTACTGAATTTAAATATACATGTGAATATGTATTATATAAACCAATAAATACATTTACAAACATATCTCCACTTGAAGATGGAATGGAATGACCAGAATTCTTTCCAATTTACCATCTGTGGAGCAGAGATTCACTATCATGGTGAAGATGAAATTCAGTTTGAGTGAAGAGCACAGCTGGTACCAAAGCGAAGTTACATACTAAGAACTTATCTAATAATAACCAAACTGCCTTCATCCCTGCAAGCAAATAAGCTGAGCCTATGTTAAAGGAATGGCTGTATAGTGCTACATAATATGTTGATAGGTTGTGGGTAGTCAACACAAAATTATAATCATCATTTACGTAATACATCAACCTGCATTATCTTAAATATCCCACTGCATACATAAAGCATTATCTAGTGACACTTAACAAAGTTTATTATTTTGAAAACTGTGAAGATTGGCAAGATATTCATAGTTTTTTTTTTTTAAATAAAATTTTTTTTATTAACATATTCTTAATTTTTTAACTCAAAACTAGGGCCAGTTAATCTCCTAGACACTCCTACTTTTCGCCACCACTAAAAAAAATAAAATAAAAACATGTCAATTAAACTTCGATGATGCTTGCTCTAAAGTTTGGAGGTGGCATAAGGATAGAAGTAGGACATCTCAATCTATCTCACTCAATGATATAAACGCAAACACCACTCAAAACAAATACCAGCTCACACAATCTATAAAAGCATATTCATGTAGTTTGTCAATCTGTATTTTATTGCGGCATATGAAATGGGAAACAGACAAAAGAGAAAGGAAATGTACCAGTTGTTCACAAGAGTGAGTTCATATATATTCATGTAGTTTGGATAGGAACCCATAGCAGACAGCCACCCGTAGGTAGCTATCAATCCTGCCTACTGGTTAACCCAGCCCTTCTCAGAAGGAGTATGTCTTTATAGACATTTACAATTATTATTTCTGCTCATAACAGTTCTACTTCCACTCACTCTGTAGTGCAATTGAAATTTGCTGCAAAGGTAAGTCTAAAGCACACTTACCTCTGCAACATTTTTAGATATGGTTTCAAAGCGTTCACTCGTGGTCAGGGGAGCATGAATTATTTTCTAACCTCACAGCCCTGAGTACGTGTGTTTATCTGCCCGTACACATGGCATCGGTGATCTGCATCAAATGGCAGGCTGTGCTTTGCATATGATAGAATCCAATAATAAAAAAAAAAAAATCATGGATTGGATAGTATGCACAGTACCGATAAAAGGTTTGTCAGATAAGCTCCAAAGGATTTATTTTTCTTTCAACTGGAGGCCATTTTATTATTAACATCTTTATATCAGCTTTTTCCTGGATCAGTAAAGTCCTAGGGAATCATTAAGGCTGAAATATTCCAACAAATCTATTTGTCATTAGCTTAATAGTATTTGTTCAGTAATAAGACCTCTGTGAATTTAAATGGACACTCGAGGCACATAAAGGACTTCAGTTTGCTAAAGAGCTTTATGTGTAAGGAGCATTTCCTCTTAATTGCAGTTTAAAAAAAAAAAAAAAAAAAAAAACTGCTCATTTCTATTTTAAATCTGTATTTTTATAAATCATTTTAGAAGCACCTTCCTGGCTGGAGCTAATAAAAGTGGGATGCATTCTCAGCTAGAATGTGCCTGCCTTCTCCCTAAATTAAAAGTGTACCGGTCAGTGCGCCCCACAAGCCAACTTTAGCCCTGTCCAGACTCCATGGCTTTCAGCCTAGAGAACTTGAATTGAAATCACTCAAAATCAGAGGCTTCTCAATAAGAAACCTCTAACTGGTCATTTCATTGGGGGGGGTCAAACGAGGGCTCACAAAGGTTGCAGACAGCAGATCTGCAACTTTTTCAAGCTGTTTTCATTGCATGCATGTTTTCTTTTCTTTTTTTTTCTTCAATCTTTCTTTTATTGAGGCATTTGTGAAATGGGATACAGAATAAAGAAGAGGGGATATACGTTTTCCATACAGATTGAGCTCACACAACAATGTTGTCCTATGAGAGGCAGCCTCATTTTATATTAATTAAGCGTACCATAATAACACAAGCATTTGTTCAGGAAATGGGTGCAAGGGTTAATTAATGATTGCTCAAATGGTAGTGTTCATGTGTACAATATAACTGATTAAGCATGCTATATATTAAAACAACTCAGGTTCTGTTTCAGTGCTTATAAGCATAGCATTTTAAGCTTGCAGCAAAACAGGTTAAATGCTCAGATTAGAGTAACGAGAAGCTGCTACAGTTTCACAACGGTCAAACATATTTACACAGGCTAAAACTTAACTGTAGAATGCCTTAGTGAGAGATTACTCTGACTGCTCTTATCCTAAAGCAAGTATGAGGGGAGGCAGGCATAGTGCATTATGTGCAGAGCGTGTCATAAGTAAACCGATAAGGCTAACCGTTGTTTTAAACAGTGTTATATTATATTACTTGCTTGTCAAGAAACCTCATGGGGTTGTGGTAAGCTAGGTAAAGGAGGTAATGGGTGGCATTGCTCCGGATGCAGGAACATTCTTATGGTGCTATCGATAGGCATTATTAAGATTACCGGCCCAAGTCCTAGCCAAGCGCCAATAAGGTCACCAGGCACTAGCTAGTATGTCCTTTAGTGTCTATCAGTGTACTCAGCCCACTCCGCAAGGTGTGAATGCTGTTTGGCTGCTGGGAGCTTGTCTGCTAAGTCTCAGGATGGTAGCCTTGTGGGTTTCTTTCGTGCCAGAGGTCCAGTGATCCCATCAACAGGATTGTGGGCCCAGGGTTCCAACGGGTACCGATCTTCTCCCTGGGGTTATGGCAGGCTGTGGAGGTGTTCCTCCTGGTGAGCGCCCAGCTCAGATGAAGGGCGAGCGGTCATATCCGCAGCAGTGTGGGTGGTGCGTCGTGCTGGAACACTAGTGCCCTGCGCCCGGTACGTCTCCTGACTTGGGGGCTGCTGGACAGTTCGGGTTGTTTGCTGGTGCCTGTTCAGCGGTGGCTGCATCTGGATTCAATCTGGCACCAGAACGCTGCGCAGATTTTGTCAAAGGCTGCATTGAAGTGTGCCTCCCAAGCAGGCCTCCATGTGCTCTCCTCTGCTGGCGCCATTTTAGTTTCCGCTTTCGTGAAAGAGTATTCTGGGGGTTCGGTGAGTCCTTTGTAGTTGCTGCGCCCCCAGGTTGCATGTTTTCAATGGGGTTAGATCTACTAAATTGTTAAAAAAAAAAAAAGAAAAAACACCAAATTGTCCATTGAAATGTTCCCTTAAATTTCCTTTTGCCAATTTAGGTCTCAATTTAATAATTTTGGATAAGCTTTTCTAATGATTTCATATTTGGAAAAATCTGTTCAAAAGTGTATCCAAAAATATATTGCGGCTTAAAGGGACACTCCAGGCACCCAGACCACTTCTGCCCATTGGAGTGGTCTGGGTGCCAACTCCCACCACCCTTAACCCTGCAACTATAATTATTGCAGTTTTTATAAACTGCAATAATTACTTTGCAGGGTTAACTCCTCCTCTAGTGGCTGTCTACTAGGGCACTTCCTGATGCCACTTCCTGTGTGAGGACCTCCAGCGTTGCTAAAATCCCCATAGGAAAGCATTTCCAATGCTTTCCTATGGAGAGGTCTAATGCGCTTGCGCGGCATTGACGCACATGCGCATTAGGTCTCCGCCGGCGGCATCTGTCTCCCCCGCCAGATGACGTGGGGACGGGAGGAGCATGGGCGGACCAAGAAGCAGTGGCGAGGGACATCGTCGCTGCCTCTGGTAAGTCACTGAAGGGGTTTTGACCCCTTCAGCAACCGGAGGTGGGAGGAAGAGGGGACCTGCAGTGCCAGGAAAACGGATTGTTTTCCTGGCACTGGAGTGTCCCTTTAAATAATATTTGCGCACGAATAAGGAAATATATAAATTAAATATATCAAATGTTTCCTTGTAGATGGGTTGTGAGGCCTAACTATTTGTGGCATTGGCATTTCCAATTAGTTCAACATAATGTCAATCGCATATCCTTGAAATTCCAAACCTAGGCCCCCCCCCCCCCCCCCAAAAAAGGAAAATAATAAAAATCACATTTTAGCGCATAACCCTGTGCTTGGATATACAGTTATTGTAAAAAGTATATTAACCTGTCAATTGTACTAATTTTCAGGAATGCAGAATAATTTAAAACATGGCCCATAACCTAACCTCCACCCCCCAAAAAACAACAACAACAACAACAAACAAACAGAAAACAGAAGAAAAATACTGCATACATAACACAAAGGGGTTTATTCACCTAACATTGCATTAAATTAATATACTAAAATCATACTGAAGTAATCATGTAGTCATGTAGAGTTGGAAAAATATTCCGGACGGACTATTTTAGCCTTGCTTGTCATTCAAATTCCGATTTGCTACAAAATGCCTCCTACATATACCACACACTAGGTATACTGGGTGCACTTTATGTGTGCAAATTGTTCTGATAAACAAAAAGGGGCATGTAATTAAGACGACATCAAACAATAAAGATATAAAAATTATTATTAAAGCAGAACTCACTTTTAGGTTATTTGCATTTTTTTGTAAAGATCCCACATGGTGACATGTACGCTTGCATTGAGGTTTCTGAGGGGAGCAGATAGGAAAAATTACATATTATAAGTTGGTGCCACTATCTTCTTCCATCCATATTTGTATGACTCTTGGCATCTTCATCTGCCAAGAACCATCATCAGTACTGTACTGTACATTGAACATGTGTAAGAGTGCAACACAATGTCTAGGGAGGATCCTGTGAGATCTTTATACCTTATTCTGCCTGCGTGAGATTTAGTTAATTTCATGCAGGCAAAATAAGGTACCACAGACATCTACTGGACATCTTGCGTGATGATGCCTGCTCATCCAGTAGGGATCCATATCTTTTGATTGTTTTGGAATACACAAAAAAAACTTTGCATAATGAAAAATAGCACTTTATATTGCTACAGTTATCAAAAATAACATTTCAATATTATCTGTGTAACTAGTTACAATGGGTTTATGCTTTTACTTTGCAGTTTCATGTTAGGCAAGTTTCCCAGTGCTATATCGATTTTGAGAAAATATTTACATTCTGCAGCACCATGCAATAGGTGAACTAAGAAACTGCAAACATGCTGGCCTCTACCTTGCATTCCTCCTGTATGTCTGATTTTTAAGAGGGAGGTCAAGCAAATAGAAAGAATTCTATGAGAAGTAACTTACAGGTCAGGGTGTAGTAGTTGCCTTCATGTTGGTTTACCTTTTGAATTTAAATTCCCAGCAATTTTCACTTTATTAATCAACCCTGTAAATATTTAATGGTAAATTATTTATGGCTAACCTAAAAACGTGTTGCTCTATTCTATATATCTACACTTATAGTGGCTATGACACATACTGGGGTCTCTGCACAATTTTGCTAGGCATAGAAAAAAAAAAAAAGGCTAAGTACCCTACTAGAGAATATAACAGTAGAGAAAAGAAGAATAGAATGAGAGAACGGAAGTAAATAAGAATCAATTGAGTTAAGGTACTTAACGTGACAGAGAATCTTAAAAACGATATATTGCAAAAAAATTATAAATTTAATATCAGAAACAGCACCAATATACCGGTATATACATTTCACCTACTAAGGGTTATTCACTAATGCGATTTATCAGGAATTCTCAGTGAATTTCAAGATGTAGGCAAAAATAGTGTCATAGGAAAAGTTTCCTCAGTCAGCAATATTTTCAGGCTCGATGTTAATGCCTAAAATGGTAAATTCCCTGTAAATGCATTATAATAAATGCATATTAAATTTATACATACATACATATATATATACACACACACACATATATATAATTGCGCGCGTGTGTGTGTGTGTATATATATATATATATAAAAACACCAACATTAAAATATTACAATAAAGATATTAAATATATATATATATATATATATATATATATATATATATATATATTAACCCTTATTTCTGGCTGCTGATTAATGAAGTTATTGATCTCCTATTGATACAATGAAGCCATGGCTGTGGGTTGGTGTAATATCTAGGACTATAATAGGGTTTATTCCTGGCTTCTGATTAATGAAGTTATTGATCTCCTATTGATACAATGAAGCCATGGCTGTGGATGGGTGGAATATTTAGTTCTATAATAGGGTTTATTCCTGGCTGCTGATTAATGAAGTTATTGATCTATTGATACAATGAAGCCATGGCTGTGGATGGGTGTAATATTTAGTTCTATAATAGGGTTTATTCCTGGCTGCTGATTAATGAAGTTATTGATCTCCTATTGATACAATGAAGCCATTGCTGTGGGTTGGTATAATATCTAGGACTATAATAGGGTTTATTCCTGGCTGCTGATTAATTAAGTTACTGATCTCCTATTGATACAATGAAGCCATGGCTGTGGGTTGGTGTAATATCTAGGACTATAATAGGGTTTATTCCTGGCTGCTGATTAATGAAGTTATTGATCTCCTATTGATACAATGAAGCCATGGCTGTGGGTTGGTGTAATATCTAGGACTATAATAGGGTTTATTCCTGGCTGCTGATTAATGAAGTTATTGATCTCCTATTGATACAATGAAGCCATGGCTGTGGGTTGGTGTAATATCTAGGACCATAATAGGGTTTATTCCTGGCTGCTGATTAATGAAGTTATTGATCTCCTATTGATACAATGAAGCCATGGCTGTGGGTTGGTGTAATATCTAGGACTATAATAGGGTTTATTCCTGGCTGCTGATTAATGAAGTTATTGATCTCCTATTGATACAATGAAGCCATGGCTGTGGGTTGGTGTAATATCTAGTTCTATAATAGGGTTTATTCCTGGCTGCTGATTAATGAAGTTATTGATCTCCTATTGATACAATGAAGCCATGGCTGTGGGTTGGTGTAATATCTAGGACTATAATAGGGTTTATTCCTGGCTGCTGATTAATGAAGTTTTTGATCTCCTATTGATCCAATGAAGCCATGGCTGTGGATGGGTGTAATATCTAGGACTATAATAGGGTTTATTCCTGGCTGCTGATTAATGAAGTTATTGATCTCCTATTGATCCAATGAAGCCATGGCTGTGGATGGGTGTAATATCTAGGACCATAATAGGGTTTATTCCTGGCTGCTGATTAATGAAGTTATTGATCTCCTATTGATACAATGAAGCCATGGCTGTGGGTTGGTGTAATATCTAAGACCATAATAGGGTTTATTCCTGGCTGCTGATTAATGAAGTTATTGATCTCCTATTGATACAAAGAAGCCATGGCTGTGGGTTGGTGTAATATCTAGGACTATAATAGGGTTTATTCCTGGCTTCTGATTAATGAAGTTATTGATCTCCTATTGATACAATGAAGCCATGGCTGTGGATGGGTGGAATATTTAGTTCTATAATAGGGTTTATTCCTGGCTGCTGATTAATGAAGTTATTGATCTATTGATACAATGAAGCCATGGCTGTGGATGGGTGTAATATTTAGTTCTATAATAGGGTTTATTCCTGGCTGCTGATTAATGAAGTTATTGATCTCCTATTGATACAATGAAGCCATTGCTGTGGGTTGGTATAATATCTAGGACTATAATAGGGTTTATTCCTGGCTGCTGATTAATTAAGTTACTGATCTCCTATTGATACAATGAAGCCATGGCTGTGGGTTGGTGTAATATCTAGGACTATAATAGGGTTTATTCCTGGCTGCTGATTAATGAAGTTATTGATCTCCTATTGATACAATGAAGCCATGGCTGTGGGTTGGTGTAATATCTAGGACTATAATAGGGTTTATTCCTGGCTGCTGATTAATGAAGTTATTGATCTCCTATTGATACAATGAAGCCATGGCTGTGGGTTGGTGTAATATCTAAGACTATAATAGGGTTTATTCCTGGCTGCTGATTAATGAAGTTATTGATCTCCTATTGATACAATGAAGCCATGGCTGTGGGTTGGTGTAATATCTAGGACTATAATAGGGTTTATTCCTGGCTTCTGATTAATGAAGTTATTGATCTCCTATTGATACAATGAAGCCATGGCTGTGGGTTGGTGTAATATCTAGGACTATAATAGGGTTTATTCCTGGCTGCTGATTAATGAAGTTATTGATCTCCTATTGATCCAATGAAGCCATGGCTGTGGATGGGTGTAATATCTAGGACCATAATAGGGTTTATTCCTGGCTGCTGATTAATGAAGTTATTGATCTCCTATTGATACAATGAAGCCATGGCTGTGGGTTGGTGTAATATCTAAGACCATAATAGGGTTTATTCCTGGCTGCTGATTAATGAAGTTATTGATCTCCTATTGATACAATGAAGCCATGGCTGTGGGTTGGTGTAATATCTAGGACTATAATAGGGTTTATTCCTGGCTTCTGATTAATGAAGTTATTGATCTCCTATTGATACAATGAAGCCATGGCTGTGGATGGGTGGAATATTTAGTTCTATAATAGGGTTTATTCCTGGCTGCTGATTAATGAAGTTATTGATCTATTGATACAATGAAGCCATGGCTGTGGATGGGTGTAATATTTAGTTCTATAATAGGGTTTATTCCTGGCTGCTGATTAATGAAGTTATTGATCTCCTATTGATACAATGAAGCCAAGTCAGGTTATCTAGACCATAATAGGTTTATTCCTGGCTTGATTAATGAAGATCTCCTATTGATACAATGAAGCCATGGCTGTGGGTTGGTGTAATATCTAGGACTATAATAGGGTTTATTCCTGGCTGCTGATTAATGAAGTTATTGATCTCCTATTGATACAATGAAGCCATGGCTGTGGGTTGGTGTAATATCTAGGACTATAATAGGGTTTATTCCTGGCTGCTGATTAATGAAGTTATTGATCTCCTATTGATACAATGAAGCCATGGCTGTGGGTTGGTGTAATATCTAGTACTATAATAGGGTTTATTCCTGGCTGCTGATTAATGAAGTTATTGATCTCCTATTGATACAATGAAGCCATGGCTGTGGGTTGGTGTAATATCTAGGACTATAATAGGGTTTATTCCTGGCTGCTGATTAATGAAGTTATTGATCTCCTATTGATACAATGAAGCCATGGCTGTGGGTTGGTGTAATATCTAGGACTATAATAGGGTTTATTCCTGGCTTCTGATTAATGAAGTTATTGATCTCCTATTGATACAATGAAGCCATGGCTGTGGGTTGGTGTAATATCTAGGACTATAATAGGGTTTATTCCTGGCTGCTGATTAATGAAGTTATTGATCTCCTATTGATACAATGAAGCCATGGCTGTGGATGGGTGTAATATCTAGGACCATAATAGGGTTTATTCCTGGCTGCTGATTAATGAAGTTATTGATCTCCTATTGATACAATGAAGCCATGGCTGTGGGTTGGTGTGTGATCAGGTACAGAGGAGGATTTTTCTCCTGGGTAGGTTCTCCTGGCACTGCCCTCAGGTAGGTTCTCCTGGCACTGCCCTCAGGTAGGTTCTCCTGGCACAGTCACCCTGATGGCGCTGCCCTGCTGGGATATGACGGCCAGGGGGCGGGCCGCAGCCAGGTTAGCCACGCCCTCACACGGGAGGATGGCTGGAGTGTGAAAGTGCAAGCCGCGCCCTGACACCCTCCCCACTGCATCCTGACACCTACCTCCGGGGGCGCGGACGGGCCGGGACGGGGCCACCGCCGGAACACAGCGCTCCGGAAGTGATACGTCAAAATACCTTCACTCGCCCTCCTTCAGCTACCCGGAAGTGAAAGGAGGAATCCCCGCCCACATCGTCACAGCCCTGCGTTCGATTGGCTGGAGCTGTGCGAGAGAATTGAGCCGCAGGCGCCATTTTGGGTGGGGAGGAATGCGTGCCAAGCCTCATTCTGTTGCTTAGTTATATTGGCGGGAAATCAGAACGGGGCTTGGAACGCACAACTGCTAATTTACAAAAAATAAATAAAATTTAAAAAAATAGCTCTTCACAGTGCATTACAGCGGCTTGTTAGGGTCAGATATATTATGTATTACGGTTTCCAAAACACATACGGTCAGGGTTATTCAGTAAAGTAATAATTTACAGAGAATGTCATATTTAAGGCCAAAGTAGCCGAATTGGAAGCATTATCTAATACAGCTGTGCTGCCAGCTTGGCTACTTTAGCCTAATATTTTAAGTTCACTGTGAATTCTCACTTGAATGCATATCCCTGCTAAAGTGCAAAATGTCAGGAATTCGAAGTGAAATTCTAATTTTAGGCCAAAGTAGCTGAATTTGAATTATTCTCCCAGGCAGCTACAATGTTGGTATTTTGTCCTTAAATTTGAAATTCACACAATTAAGCACACTTCTATACACATGGCAGCATTATTAGATCAATTAGATAAGCTCACGCCGTGCTGTGGGCGCTAGGACAATGCATGTAAAACGCTGCAGAATTTGTTGGCGCTATATAAATAATAACATAATAATAATAAGGTAGTGCTTCAGCAGCTCTCTCTGCTGCTTTAACTGGTTTCCATGGTGATTGTTCCACATTTTGTACTTTAGAACATTTTTTCGGAAAACAACAAATTTATACACAAACTCCAATGTTTATATTGCTCCTCTTCATTTGCAATATTTGCCCTGGCTTTGCCTTGTCTAAACTAGATTATGATATAATTTGCTAAACGTTGATATAAATTTAAAAGGTAACATAACAGCTTGTGAAAAACGTGTTATTTTCCAAGATTTACTCAGTGACTTAAATTCCAGAGAAGTGTCAGCTCAACCTTAAAGGACCACTCTTGGCACCCAGACCACTTCAGCTTAATGAAGTGGTCTGGGTGCCAGGTCCAGCTAGGGTTAACCCATTTTTTTTTATAAACATAGCAGTTTCAGAGAAACTGCTATGTTTATAAATGGGTTAATCCAGCCTCTAAAACCTCTAGTGGCTGTCTCATTGACAGCCGCTAGAGGCGCTATTTCTCACTGTGAAAATCACAGTGAGAGCACGCCAGCGTCCATAGGAAAGCATTGTAAATGCTTTCCTATGCGACATCTGAATGCGCGCGCAGCTCTTGCCGCGCGTGCGCATTCAGCCGAATGGGCGGAGAGGAGGAGGATCGGAGGAGGAGAGCTCCCCGCCCGGCGCTGGAAAAAGGTAAGTTTTAACCCCTTTCCAGAGCCGGGCGGGAGGGGGTCCCTGATGGTGGGGGCACCCTCAGGGCACTATAGTGCCAGGAAAACGAGTATGTTTTGGAAGATGGTTTACCTCTTTACCTGGGAACAGTACCTGGGTACTCTTACCATCAGAATTACTACAGTGGGTTGTAGTGGCTATGATTATTGGAAAGTGCTTTAACCTCCAAGCAGGGCTACTATCATAAATATTGGGGCCTCTTACCCAGCTCAAAGTCAGGCCTCTCGGGGTCCAACCCCTGATTCCACCCACAGGGCCCAATCTCACTCAGTCCACAAGGATGCAGTGTATGTATAGTGGATGTAGTGTGTGTATAGTGAATGCAGAGTGTGTGTTTGTGTAGTGGATGCATTGTGTGTTTGTGTAGTGGATGATGTGTGTTGGAGAGAAAGATGCTGCTTGTAGCTAAAGATGGCGTTTGCTGGGTCCCCTCTTCACTATACACGCAGCTTGGGGTCCCGCATGGACACATAAATATAGTGATAATTGCTATATATATGTGCAAACTGGGAACGAGGGGCTTAGGTCCAATCGGTCGCTCTGGCCTCATACCGCAGTTCGGCTGCACGCCCCTGATGTCGGCCCTGAATCCAAGTACCATAAACACTAAAGTCCACTCAGGAATGCCCTGCCACCATCTCATAGTAACATGTCAAACTGGGTTCTGTGTTCAGCCAGATGCTGCCACACCCCCTGTTTCTCCAGCAAGAAAATCGAAATTGTTCCATCATGCAAAGGAAGGCCATGCATTGGCCAATGAGGGTGGTCCTGCATGGGCTATGCTTTATTCCACGGAGACATCCGGTTTCTCTTGCAGGAGAAGATTGGATGCTGAGAATGTAACTGCGGGACCCAGATATGGGCTGATTGGTTATGGTACTTTGTTGCTGTGGAGCCTCGTATGGCACATTCATGCTGCAAGCTGATTTGCTATACAGCTCCTGTATTCCCAGTGCCCACTCTCAGTCTCATGGTTAGTCCCTAAAGTATAAATTGTTTGGAATTCAAAGTGAATTTTAAACTTTAGGCCAATATTGCCAAACTAGACAAATTCTCCAAGTCAGTTATATTTCCAGCTTGGCAAGTTTGGCCTGATATTTGAAATTCATTTTGAATTCCGAGCATTTCACAATTTAGTGTCTGTGAACCTAGCTCCACAACTTCCATAAAAAAGGTAAAGGTAGTAAACATGCTTAATAATTAGGTGAAGTAAAATGTGGTAAATATGGAACAGTTTTCTTGATTTTCTTTGTCTAAATTGTGCACAATTTTTGGGAATACAAATTTAAAGGAATACTTCAAACACATAAAGCATTTTAGCTTTAGAGTACTGTTTTTTGTGTGTCAATTTAAACTAAGTGCCAATTTCTAACAACCCTTCTGTCTAACGCTGAGAAGAGTATTCAACAAAGCGAGAATTGTCAGGAATTTAAAATTTACACCAAAATAGCCAAGCTGGAAGAATTCTAGATTTTTCTAATTCACTTTGAATTCTCTGCGTTCTTACTTTAGTAAATAGCCTTGTCAGAGTTATTTACTAAAGTGAGAATTAAAAGTTAATTCCAAATTAAAAGTTACAAAAAAAAGCAGAACTGGAAAATTTCTCTTGTCAGCTAGGTTTTTAATTTGGCTACTCTGGACTTAAATTTCAAATTCACTTTGAATTCTCAATTTAGCTTTTAGACTGTGCAACCCATTTGTGCGAGTTCCACTTTGAAGGCACACTTCAAGAGCCTTAACCACTACAGCTGACCCTTCCAATGCATGCAAGCGCAAGATTTTAACCTCTGTCTGCAGTGAGCGCTGACGACAGCAGTAAAATATACACAAAGTGGACATTAGAGAGCCGGAAAACAGTGTTCTGGGCAGCCAGTGTCACATGTGCTGGGGGTGAAACACGCTTCCAGCACAAAATGTGCCTATTTCTCTGTATTGGGCAGTGTTTCAAGCCAAAACACTGCATATACATATCCTTTCACCATGACCACTTCAAAGCACTAAAGTGGTCATGGTGGTTGGAGTAACCCTTTAAATTTGCAGTTTAGTGAAAAATTGTTAGATTTCAACTGGGTTTTATTATTTGGGGAGGGGGATGCAAACCTATGAATTGCATTCATGCTCACTGACTACAGCTACTACATTAAGCAAGACACATTATTACTCTTTACAGCATCTTGTTTTAATTAAAAACCAGTTTCCATATATAGGGGGGCAATGTAATTTAATAGGTAAGAAAAGTTAAACGTGTCAATAAAGTGCTTACAGAAATTATAAAAAAAAAAAAAAACTAAATGAAAATCACTATAACCAAAAAAATGGTGACCATTCACCCTCTACTGGCGACAACAGGCAGCACATGTTTGACGTTGCTGGCGGGGGTGGGGTCCAGGTTAGCTGACGTCACATCCGTTTGAATGAGTATATAAGCTGCTGTCGGAGCGTCCATCGTTCCTCTTTACCGCGTCCTCCAGCAGCGTTACAGGTTTGTCTTTAACTTCTTGCTTTTGCTAGTTTTTCGGAACTGGCGATCAATATTGTAATATTTCTCTTTGTATATGAATAGTCTGTCTGATGGGCCGCTGTTTTTACTGATAAAGGCTTTGGTGTGTCAGGATGGAGGTGGATTGTGCCAGGCCTGGCAGCCATCTGAATCCTCTCATATTTCAATAACATCTGATTTATAATCTGCATAATGTCTAACCAACAGCAACTGTCTTACCATGGTTATGCTAAAAAGCCCCATTTATTGTAAATCTCTAGTGGGATTTTCTGCATGCTGGCCCAGGGCCTTGCTTTATAATTTCTAATATATTCTGTATTAAAGTAAAACTGGCCTTCTCACCCCTAACTGCTGCCCTGCATCTCACTGCCTAGAAATGACGAAAATTATGTTGGTAGGGACATCTGAGATACATTGATGAATACCAACGTCTCTGATCTGGCTAAACTGATTTTTGTGATTTACTTAAAATTATCTTAAAGCATGCCCCCCACAGGCTGCTTCTTAATGACTGGGTTCTTTTACTAAAGTATTGCTGGATGTGAAACTTTACTTTCAAATGTAATGTCTTAAATAGCCCAACTGAGAACCATATTGACCAGGATAACTCCTATAATTAAGATATTTCTACCTTTTTTGTTTGCACTGCAGTCAATTTTGCTTTTAAATAGGCTATATATTGCTTAGTATCTTTCCTGCTAGAATGTTGCCTTGCCCTCATAGACTGGCAACAGCATGCTTGTGAAGTTTTAGTTCACTCACTATAGACTTGTGTCTGCACATACACATTTAACCCCTCTGCTGCCTGAGGTGTACTCAGCCAGTGTCATTGGCTTGTAGCAAGCTCAGAACATCAGCTCTAGGCTGGCTGTAGTCTACTCTGTGCATGCTTCTTGCATAGTGGTATCTGGACCTGCATATCCTCACAGACCATAGTAGAGAACCTTGTGCATAAGGCCACATCCAGGTAAATGTGCAAAAATGGCTTACCCAATTACTGGTGAATGGCATTAAGCTACTCCTTGTATCATAACAATTGCCAGACTGTAGTGGTTACTTGTGAGTAACCCTGATGTTTATACTATCTCTCTGGAGGTAGGCTTCTCAGTTGTGGTTTTGGCAAATATGACCTGATTAATGTCTAAAATCTAACTTTGTTTAAGTTCTTAATCAAAATTTCTCTTATAGGAATATATGGATAAAATGAATCTAACCAGTAAGGTAAGCGTCTTACATCTTACTAGTTGTCTCAATGTACTTGTCTGTGTTCACTCCCATTAGGGTTATTGTAGGCACCAAAACCACTTTAGCTTAAAGATAGTCGTGGGTAGACCATGCCCTTGCAGTCTTGTTGATCAATTCTCTGCCACTTACCAGTTAAAGCACTGTTTATGCAGCCATAGTCCCTGCACGTTATGTAAACAGCCTTGCTAACTAAATCATGTAAAGTTGTCTAATATAACTTCCTTTAGTGCAAATTCTATTAAAACTAGAATTTAACCCATGTTCTGTTAATACCCTGGAAGACCAATTCAATCAGAGCAGAAGCTTAAAGTTAAGGGAAAACTCTGATCACCATAACTTAACCTAAATGAATCAGTAGTTACTCAGTCAGGCGTCTCTACCCTGTAGTATCCACACTTCCTAAAGCTTAAAGGGACACTATGTTCACAACTACAGCTTATTGAAATTGTTCAGGTGAGTAGAATCATTACCGTCAGGCTCTTTGCAGTAAACAATGTCTTTTCAGAGAAAATGCAGTGTTTACATTACAGCCTAGTGATAACTTCACTGGCCATTCCTCAGATGGCTGTTAGAGATCCTTCCTGGGTCATGGCTGCCTAAAATGCATCCAAACATTCAGTATCTCCTCCCTCTGCATGCAGACACTGAACTTTCCTCAGATTCATTGATTCAATTCATCTCTAGGAGGAGATGGTGATTGGCCAGGGCAGTGTTTAAATCATGTTGGCTCTGCCCCTGATCTGTCTCTGCCAATCCTAAGGAAAAGCACTGTGATTGTATTAGGCTACCACTTCTGATGTCAGCAGACTGCTTGCAGGTCTGAGGCAGACAGGGCAGAGCCAGCAGCTTCAGGCTTGCATAAAAGTAAGATTTTACTATTTTTAGGGAGGCTTGAGGGGGCTAGATGATGGTGTTAACCCTATAGGGTCAGAAATAAATGTTTGTTTCTTATCAGAAGCTGGATTCTCTTGAGGAACTTCAGATCTGGTGCTGGAGGCTGCATTTGGAGTTAAGCAATTAAACTGTTTAACAGCTAAAAGTAAAAAGGCACCCATGGGCCTCTTGGCACCATAACATCAACCAATTTAGTTATGGTGAAAAGCATATTCCTTTAAGACACAAATTAAGATTTAATACAGGCTGTCAGCCTAAGTATGTGACTAGGACTACAATTTTTTTTTAAACTAAAGCTTTTAAATAGCAGAAACTTGCACAATGAGACTGTAGGGGCATGGTTATACAGTAAAACCACTTGTTTTGATGCTTATGATATACCTCTAAATTCATGATTTGCCAAGTCCTTCACTACATTGAACATCTGCAAGGCAAACTGCTCTAAGGAGCTGGAGCTTAATGGAGGTGCACATGTTTTACTAATGCCACAATGATGACACTTATTTGCTACTCTTGACTGACTGAATGACGAGAAAGTGGACCACCAAGTCTTGTTCTGAGGCATATCAATGCTGGCATAAATTGGCCACTAAAATAAAACATTATCTCAACTTTGCTTTCCTTTCTCCCCACAGGTGTTCATTCCCACTTTCTACAGCTTGCATGTCCAGTCTCAGGATTACAGGTGAGTTTTGATAATGGTAGTAACAGCAAAATACATAGTGCAATCCTCTAAACTTGTACTGCGTGATGATTTGAATTTATCAATGGGAATCTCTCTGAAAAAGGATGAGGGAGAACTTTATACTGACTTGGTACATAGAACTAAAGGAACACTCAAAGTACTACAAAAACTACAAGCTGCTGTGCCCTGTACTTCCTGGAGTGCCCTTGTGTAACAATGGTAAATATGTCAAATTATACTAAAACAGTTTTGACAACTTTCCTGTGGCTGCATCTTGTCTTAAGCAGAAGCTTGATGTCTCTGTAGAGAAAAGCAGGACTGCCTTTGTCTGGTGCTCTAGGTCAACAATCAGTCCTGCATTTCTCTGCTGTGCTGTACAGAGCAATCCAGTTGCAGGAAGTGCTGATGTCTGTCTGGAAGACCCAGGTAAACTATCAAGCTGTACTAAAATGTCTTGCCAGGGCATTCCAGGCACCCTAGGGCACAGCAGTCTGTATTGGTAGTGGTGTTTGGAATATTGATCTAATGCTTACAGTGGATTGATTTTTATTTTTGTTTTCTTAGGTGTGCAACTCTCGATGATGCCTAGAAACATGGCACCAGGTTTGTAGTCTTTTACATATATTCTTTGTGCAATAATTGTTTGGTGGTACTATAAAGGTCTGGATTTTTTCTGATAGGAAGTGCTAGCTGTGCACATAGGAAAATAGACTTAACTGTGCCATGGCTAAACATGTTGCTTGTAGTTTTTTTTTTTTTCTTCCTTGCCTACTGATCTTAAGATCCAATAGTTGGTGTATAACAGATCACCCAATCTGCATCTCTTTGGATCTGTTACGTCTTTACTACCATTAACTTCTAACTTTACTGTGTTAAACAACTATCAGGTCTAATCTCATATAAAAAACAAATTGCCCTGTGACACAAGGATGATAACATAGTTCAGCTGATAACCACTGATGAACAGAGCTTGTCTTTCGCTCCTATCTGAGATGTCACAATGCTAGAAATGTGTCAATTTTATATATTGTATCCATGATTCTAACATAAAGATCCTTTACAGATGAAAGGCAACATGGATGACCATATGAAAGCGCATCAACAAAATGGTATGTATAGTTAATTTTATAACCAAACACTTATCAGTCTAGTTTAGGACTTGCTAGACATGCAATTTTAATCTACTCCCCACTTAGTCTCTAACACAAATGAAATGCTTATACTGTTAAAGGTTTATTGTCACTTCAAATAGTGCAGATGACCCATCTTATCTACCAATAAACCTGAATGATGATTCACACAGACTTGACATTTCCATGGAGGTCTGTAATTAGCTCTATCTGATTCTGGGTTAAAAGTTGCTGCTCTGATTTGTTGAATTGTGTCAACCATAACTTAAAATCTATTTCTATTTTAGTGACCTGAACTGCAACCATTACACCCTGACTAGTAAGTTACTTCTCATAGAATTCTTCCTACTTGCATGATCTCACTCTAAAAAATCCTAAATCAGACCTACAGAAAGAGGCCAGCATATCTAAATTTTCTTAGTTCACCCATTGCATGGTGCTATAGAATACTAATCTCTTGTGTAAAATAAAATCAATACAGCACTGGGAAACTTGCTGACAGACTTAAAACTAAAAGTGTAGCAGAGACCCACTAACTAGTTGACTTTTAGTGCTAAGCGGTTTTAGGTGTAACACAACCTCACTGGCTTAGAATGATGCTTCAAATGTCTGACCTGAATTCAATGTTGACTTCACTAAATACTGACCTGATCCATAGAGGTTGTCTGTTATTGTGACATGCATATTGTTCTGGTATTCTAACCTAACACTTGCATGCTTTTTCTTTTGTAGGTGCAGAAGTAACTGGAAATTGCATGGTACGTCTCACTAGAAGTGTGGTCTTGCTTCACAATATTGTAAACCAGTTTCTTGGTACAAAATTCAACTTTGCTGGGCTGTTCAGACTGTTTCTAGCTACCAAATAGGCTAGAATTTATTTTCTTAATTTAGAATGTCCAATGTAGCTGTAAAAATGAACTTCTCTAAGTGCAGTCTTAAGAACTTGGCAATGTGATGCTGGTGGCCATTGATGAAAATGATTCTGCCATATGAGTAAAACTGATTATACTCCAACCGTTCCACTTTTTTCTGAGGTACCAGCCTAAATATAACTGCACTTAAAGGAGCTATGATATTAAGCTTATTTATGCTAATATGTTCTCTAAAACAGGGGTGCCCAAAAGGAGATCTGACCATTACTATGCTGCTTGCCATTCTAAAGTCTGGCAAAGCATCATGAAATTTTAGCTTTTAAACATGAGTGATACCTGGTGTAATGACTTCTATACATTAACATACTCTCTCCTTGCAGGTTGCACATGGATTGTGTTTCTGTAAATTGGTAAGTTAAGTTTGTCACTATATCAAAGCTTAGATCTCTGACTCTGGAATCTTTAATGAGGGGCACAAGGGCAGATCTTCTTAGAAATGCCTATCGCTGGCAAGAAATGAGTTCAATGCCTTAAACTAGCTTTTAAAAATAGCGAGATGACATGTTTGAAAACACTGCTCATTTTTAATCTTCCCCTGCCTGGTTTCATGACAGAGCATGCATCTTAACAGAGCAGATACTGATATCAAAGATAGCACTTGAGGCTTTTTAACCTTGACTAGTATGCAGCATACATGGTGCACTTCTAGGAATCTCTGCCCTTAATCAGAAAGCTAAAGTGCCTGCCTATGATGTTTTTCAAGAGTAGTGGACAGAATTTATTTCTGACAATTTTTATGAACACTGAGGCTTTGCACTTGACCCAGTACTAGAAGGCCCAATATTGGCATTTTTGATCAGATTATTTAAACTATGTGCTTCTTTGCTCCATATATTAACTAAATTATTACCTCAAAGGTGAACCAGTCTGCTGGACTGAAGCAAAACCAAGAACATGTGGAATAACCAGGCTACACTACAAACCTTGCCGGGATAAATGAACGTTTAAGGGCTTCAATAACACTGGTAAGAATGTGACTTGACTCTAATCCTGCTTCTGGTAGCGGCCAAGGATACATGATGAATCCATAGTTCAGCTGACTGCTGTGATGAACAGTCTTTCGCTCCTATCTGATTCATCCTTGTCTGTTTACACATGGTCTTGATATTTATGATTTTGACAGTTTGTATAATATGCATTTATCTTGTTTTGCAGATGGCTGTCTTGGACCACTTTAAATTTAAAATGCCACTTTAAGGTAAGACCACATAGCCTCAGTTATAGTAGTCTTGTATCTTGCATTAAGCTGCTCGTGTAACCAATGATGAAAACGATTCTGCCATATGAATCCTGATTTCACTCTTTACCGTTCCACTTTATTCTGAGGTTACATGAGGTTTTGGAGACTGCATTGAAATGACCTACCTTGGCTTTTCAGATGGTTAAATAACCTGCTAGAACACAGTTGTTAGTACCTGGGTATCCAATAGCTAACTTGTCTTATGGTTTTGTCTTGCAAGCAGATCAGACAAGAGCAGCCAGGCTGAAGTTGGAATTACAATTGGCTGAGCCATGAATACTCTTGGCCCCTTTGTGATAACATGGCACATCTCTCTACCAGTTGTCTGAAGTCTTGAATTAGGTAAGTAGACTGTCTACCTTATGTCTACCTTGGGGTACATGATGACATCTACTTTGAACTCTCTCCCTGAGATTCAGATGAAAACAAAAGTACTGATCCCCCTAGTGTAACCATTGAGCAGCTTCCATTGTATTCCAACACAAACTTCATTTTTAATTTTAAATATTTTTTTTCCCCACAGATCTGAGACTTCATATTCAAAGTGATCTCAAAAGGCAACTGACCATTTAATGTAAAGCGAACTGTGTTGAGCAGTGGCTTGAAGGACCGTTCTCAATTTATAATGGGTTTCTCTGAAGAGGTTAAGAGTTCTGCTTCATGACTTGTTATCAAAGTAATGTTCTTTGCAAAGCTGTCATGACTTGTGAAATGCTGAATTAAATAAAGCTTACTAGAATTCAAATGTAATCTTGTCTTACTGTATCCTTTCTGATGCTGATCAGTGGCATTAGCCATCCTAAAATCTGAAAATAATAAAATTTGGCTGCATCATTAAAGGACCTTATGTTGTATAGCTCAAGCTTTGAATAACTAGAGTAACACATTCCTCTAAAACTACAGGACTTGTATAGGCAAGTGTTTTGAGCTGGCAGATACCATCCAATGAGGCTCTACCAATTGGGTCTGGCATTCTGGGCTGCTGTCTGGTATACTCCAAAACCAATATACTACACACCTGAACAAAGGCATCCACGGTAAAAGACCACTTGCCTATAGATGCATTGACTTGGGAAGCAATAGCAACGGAGTTTTGTCTCTACTCCCTAGTATTGAGATGTGTTAATACTCTGCTCCTGACTGTCTTTGATCACCTAATGTAAAGAATTAATGTCTGGCTGTCAGAGCGAAAATGTGCTGGAGGATCAGTAAAAAAAGTTAAATTAAAATCCCACCCCTTCCCTGCCAGTTGATCACTGACTACAGTGATCCGCAGGGTATACATTTTAGTCTGAACCCCTGAGGGTCAACTTTTTTGTAGACCTCAGGTGTTTAATTTAATAACTTGAATATTAAAATAGTATATAGCTAGCTGGGGTGGAAGTTAGTGGAGAAATAGGTGTTAGGCTAGAGGTTAACACTAAAAGTTACAAAAGTTTATTTGAAATTCCCACCCTCCTTTACCCAGTCCTAATAAAAATTAACCCCTTAACTGACAGTTGATCACTACCTACAGTGATCAATTTTATTTTACACACTTCAGGGGTTCAATTAAATTGCTTTAAATATTAATGACTTGCTAGCTGGGGTGAGTGGGAGTTTTGGGGAATTTACAGTTAGTGCTGCTTACTGCAAATGTTAAATCTGTAAAAAATTTGAAAGCTTAGTTAATCAAAAGTTTAAAAACTAGTAAAATTTTTATAAATACTCTACCACTACATGTGGCACAAATTAGAGGAAGAAAAATCTAAACTACACCACAATAGAACATGCACCCAGTTTTCCTTTGTGTCCATCTCAAATGTGCCCCTTCAATATTCATATATACCTTGCAAAGGTACATACAGGGGTGTTGGTGTACTCAGACAACACAGCTGAGCAACATATGAAGTATTGGTCATAGCACACATACTACTTGCAAAATATACTGTGCAAACGCACTCAAAGGCAGGAAATAAACACTTACCACTACACTTGGTACAAGCTAGCAGGAAAAATTATACCGTGCTAAGGCTCAAAATATGCCTTTTGAAACACTCTGGGATGTGTTTAAGAAATGGTATGCCTTTATGGTGTAGTTGTAATATGTAGCCTGCTCAAGTGCTCCAAAGTGGGACATTGACACATCAAAACTCTCCATGAAAATTTGCTTAAAGACCTGAACTTGTTACATCTTTTACAGCACTGTAACTTCAAAAATAGTGTCTGGTCATACTTTAGGCATATTGTGTTACTCAGAAGACTTAGCTGAGCATAATTTGGGGGGGTTTGAAATCTACAAAATGCCCATCAAAAATGTAACCTGTAAGTAAAGAATTTTTACCACATACTTTGGCATATATTTAAAAATGGGGAATGTTAAGGCACAATATGCATCATATAAAATACCCTGGAGTGTCTACTTTTACAAATAGTAGGCCTTTGTGGGTTTCATACTGGCACAGCGCTGACCACCCTCAGAGCGCGGAATTTAAGGCTCTCAACTGGCTGAGCATAACATTTACCACCTATATATTATCTGCCTGTTTGCACATACACCATCCATTTCTCCTTTTGTCTCCCTGTCAGTGTGGAGGTACATCTCAGGAAGGGGTGTGTTGCTGCCCAAAGAGCACATAGGCTTGCATACAGAACCAATATTATATAGGCTCCAGACCATGTGAGTGGTTTCATTTTTTTTTTTTACTTTTTACTTCCATCACTCATTTTCACCAAAACCATCTACACTTTTTTCCCCTTTACCTTCATTGTATGTTTAAAAGCATATTCCTGAATTTAAGACTACACAAAATTGTTGGGGTAAGTGAACCCCTCTATCACTTTTATTTGTATTAGCGCTCCACTAAGTGGTGTATTTTACACCACATTTTTATATATTGTGGAAATAAGGGTATTCCACTTTGTGTTTAAACTGCTTAGTGTATTAGGCACTGAATAGTTTCACCCAACACACCTGTAAAGAGGGTTGGTTTTGTTAAAATGGTTTCCAACCCTGAATGAAAATGTACACGGCCGGAAACACATTTTGTAAATGGCTTTTGAAAATTAAATGGGTTTCAGAATCAATTTACTTATCATTGTGAAAGTCTCCCACTAGTCCCACAGAACCCTATGCACACACACCTACTTACATGGTCCCCATAAGTTTCTGGTGGCAGTCGCTTCCTTGCATTGTGTTCTGGCACCAGAATGAAAGTCAACCCCCCCCCCCCTACAAATATTTGTGCCTGGTTAGTCCTGAAACTTACACTCATTCAGTACTTCAGCCAGCATCTAATCATTACAACATAAAGTGGATTGAGCAGCTTTCTACAGGAAAACATAACTAATCAAATTTAACGTCCCCCTTTAATGTCTTGTAGCTTCATAGCTCCCACCCTGTGATATTGGGTATAATCGGATTATTCACCAAAGTGAACTGTCAGGAGTGATAACTTCTAGTGTAATGCCTCCAGCCTACAATCTGACCTGGGAGTTCTATTCATGGAATGATCCTGTTACTGCATGATTCTTGCATATTGACACACAACTTGGATTTTATTTTGTGTAAACTCTGAATCTCCAAACATTACATTAAATATAACTTAACTTTCTGAACATCATTTCACCAAAACATGAATTCCCTGCCCAGTATTCTGTGCTGCACAGTATTTAGAGGAATTAGAAAAAAAAAAAAGTAAAATGTAAAGAAAATTGTTTTTTTGGGGGTAAGATCCCCTAAGCCCAGTGTGAGAGCAGTGGATGTGGGTTAGTAATGACTGTTTCTAGAATAGTCCCACATTCTCCCTCAGCTTTCATTGTCTATGGAGGTCACGTGGTTTTAAACCTGGTGGCACCAGCACAGAACGTTAGCCCCGCCCACATCGACCTGTGGATTTCCTCGTGATCTCTGATCCTGCTTACTAGCTGCTCAAAAAGGGGCGTGGCCACAGACCAGTTGCTTAAAAAGGGCGTGGCTGTAAAAGGGGAGCTACAGAGAAAGGTGCGACGTTGCGCAATGTGGCCGATGTGACGTCACTCACCTCGTTAAAGGAGACTTCCCTGGCGAACACGCCCCGAAGAGGCGTGGTTATAGAAGGTGCACGCGGGGATTGCCTTCTGTGGGCCAGAGAGAGCTAGAGTGTCTGTCTCCCTGTGTCCGTCCGCCCGCGCTCTCCGCTACCCCCGGTCATGGACCCTGCCCTGCTAGAGGTAAGAGACCAGCCAATAACGGGCCACGTGGGGGATCTCACTCCATGCATGCTGCTGGGTGTAATGTGCTGCCAGTACCAGGGGTAATAGCCTGCAAGGGGGACTGCACATGATCTGCCCCCATTGTGTACTAAGGGGTAACAGCCTGCACCCCCCATTGTGTACAAAGGGGTAACAGCCTTCACCCCCCATTGTGTACAAAGGGGTAACAGCCTGCACCCCCCATTGTGTACAAAGGGGTAACAGCCTGCACCCCCCATTGTGTACAAAGGGGTAACAGCCTGCACCCCCCATTGTGTACAAAGGGGTAACAGCCTGCACCCCCCATTGTGTACAAAGGGGTAACAGCCTGCACCCCCCATTGTGTACAAAGGGGGGTAAACGGTCTGCTCCCCCCCCCACTGGGGGTAATAGTGTGCAAGGGTGACCCCAGAGGAACTGCACCCATTCGGTACTGGGAGTGATAGTCTGCAAGAGTGATCTCTATGTAATCAGAGGAGACCCCAAATGAACTGTCTCAGGTTCTGCTATTTGTTTACCCTTTTGGCTACACTGGGAGCAGGGCCGTCTTAAATAATGGTTGGACCCTGGGCAAGCATTTGCTTGGGCCTCCTGGACCCTGCCTCCCTGGAATGCAATCTGTGTGTTACTAACAGACATACGGACAGACATACTGATACACACACCTACTGACAGACCTACTAAAACAAATAGACATGTATACAAGTACTGACACACATACACTGACAAGTGGCTGAGGGTCTGCAAGAATTTTATTTGGACCACCTTTTAGCACAAGGGTGGCCAAAATGTAGATCCCTATCTGTCATATAAGTCCACAATGCTTTGCTGGCTTGGGATCTACAATTTGCCCATCCTTGCAGGGTTGTATTTAGCACTGAGCAGTGTGTGTGTGTGTGTGTGTGTGTGTGTGTGTGTGTTTTTGAATGTAAGCATGGTTTTGTTAGGAGTATGTGTGTGAATGTTGGCTTTTAAATGCAGGCGTGCATTTGTGTGTAGTGTTTAAACTTCCACACACAAATACACAGACACATGCTGCAACAGACCTGCAAATACAGACACAAAGCTACACCCACTGGTACTTACACACAGATACATACACAGACTTCCGTTTGGGAAGTAAGTGTTGAGGGTAGGTGAGCATGCCACAGTTAAGGAGTAAGCGTGACAGGATTAGGGGTTTGAATGTGAGTGTTGGGGGTTTCTAAGTGATTGAGAGGGTGGCTTGTGTGACTGGGTTAGGAGGGCTAGTGAGGCAGGGCTGGGGGGGTGGTGCGTTAGTGAGACGGTATTCAGGAACATCTGCATGGCAAACTGCTCTAAGGAACTAGTGCTTAATGGAGTTGCACATGTTTTACTAATGCCACAATGATAACACTTATTTGCTACTCTTGACTGACTGACGAGAAAGCGGAACACCAAATCTTGTTTTGAGGCATATCAAGGCAGGCTTAATTGGCCACTAAATAAAACATTATCTCAACTTTGCTTTCCTTTTCCTTCCCAGGTGTTCATTCCCACTCTCTACGGCTTGCATGTCCAGTCTCAGGATTACATGTGAGTTTTGATAATGGTAGTAACGGCAAAATACATAGTGCAATCCTTTAAACTTGTACTGCGTGATGATTTGAATTTATCAATGGGAATCTCTCTGAAAAAGGATGAGGGAGAACTTTATACTGACTTGGTACATAGAACTAAAGGAACACTCAAAGTACCATAAACCCTACAAGCTGCTGTGCCCTGTGCTGCCAGGAGTGCCCTTGTGTAACAATGGTAAACTTGTCAAATACTAAAACAGTTTTGAAAACTTGCCTGTGGCTGCATCTTGAGATGGTGCTCTAGGTCAACAACCAGTCGTGCATTTGCCTGCTGTGCTGTACAGAGCAATCCAGTTGCAGGAAGTGCTGATGTCTGTCTGGAAGACCCAGGTAAACTATCAAACTGTACTAAAATGTCTTGCCAGGGCATTCCAGGCACCCTAGGGCACAGCAGTCTGTATTGGTAGTGGTGTTTGGAATATTGATCTAATGCTTACAGTGGATTGATTTTTGTTTTCTTAGGTGTGCAACTCTCGATGATGCCTAGAAACATGGTACCAGGTTTGTAGTCTTTTTACACATATTCTTTGTGCAATAATGGTTCAGTGGTACTGTAAAGGTCTGGATTTTAGCTAGCTGTGCATATTGGAAAATAGACCTTAACTGTGCCATGGCTAAACATGTTGCTTGTAGTTTTTTTTTTTTTTGCCTACTGATCTTAATTTCCGATAGTTGGTGTATAACAGATTACCCAATTTGCGTCTCTTTGGATCTGTTACATCTTTAACACCGTAAAGTTAGCAATTAATGACAATTAGGTCTAATCTCATATAAAAAACAAATTGCCCTGTGACACAAGGATGATAACATAGTTCAGCTGATGCCCACTGATGAGCAGAGCTTGTCTTTCGCTCCTATCTGAGATGTCACAGTGCTAGAAATGTGTCAATTTTATATATTGTATCCATGATTCTAACATAAAGGTCTCTTACAGATGCAAGGAAAAATGAATGACCACATGAAAGCACATCAATAAAATGTATGTATTTTTAATTTTCTAACCAAATTCTTATCAGTCTAGGATTTGCTAGACATGCAATTTTAATCTACTCCCCACTTAGTCTCTAAAACTAATTAAATGCTTATACTGTTCAAGGTTTGTGCTCAAAATGTCTACTGCCACTTCAAATAGTGCAGATGACCCCATCTTTTCTACCAATAAACCTGTATGATCAACAGACTTGACATTTCCATTGAGGTCTGTAATTAGCTCTATCTGATTCTGGGTTAAAAGTTGCTGCTCTGATTCGTTGAATTGTCACCATAACTTAAAATCGATTTCTATTTTAGTGACCTGAACTGCAACCATTACACCCTGACTAGTAAGTTACTTCTCATAGAATTCTTCCGATTTGCTTGACCTCAGTCTAAAATAAAAAAAATCAGACATACAGGAATAGAAAATAGTGGCCAGTATGTCTAAATCTTCTTAGTTCACCTATTGCATGGTGCTACAGAATGCTAATCTTTTAAAAAAAAAAAAAATCAATACAGCACTGGGAAACTTGACTAACATGAAACAAAGTGTAGCAGAAACCCATTGTAACCAGTTGGCTATTGGTTTTAGGTCTAACACAACCTCACTGGCTTCAAATGTCTGACTTGAATTCATTGTTGACTCCACTAAATAATGACCTGATCCATAGAAGGTTGTCTGTTATTGCAAAATGCATACTGTTCTGGTATTCTAACATAACACATGCATGTTCTCTTGTAGGTGCAGAAGTAGCTGGAAATTGCATGGTACGTCTCACTATAGAAGTATGGCCTTTCTTCACAATCTTGGAAAATCCAGTTTCTTGGTTTAAAATATAAATTCTGAAGGGTTATATCCTATGGCTGTTCAGACTGTTTTTAGCTAACAAATCAGCTAGAATTTTTTCTCTGAATGTTTAAAGCTGTAAATAGTTTTCAAAGTGCAATCTTAAGAACTTGGCAATGTGATGCTGGTGGCCGTTGATGAAAAGGATTCTGCCAAATGAGTAAAACTGATTATACTCCAACCGTTCCACTTTTTTCTGAGGTACCCAGCCTAAATATAACTGCACTTAAAGGAGCCATGATATTAAGCTTATTTATGGTAATATATTCTCTAAAACAAAACAGGGGTGCCCAAAAGGAGATCTGACCATTACTATGCTGCTTGCCATTCTAAAGTCTGCCAAAGCATCATGAAATTTTAGCTTTTAAACATGAGTGATACCTGGTGTAATATGACTTCTATACATTAACATACTCTCTCCTTGCAGGTTGCACATGGATTGTGTTTCTGTAAATTGGTAAGTTAAGTTTGTCACTATATCAAAGCTTAGATCTCTGACTCTGGAATCTTTAATGAGGGGCACAAGGGCAGATCTTCTTAGAAATGCATATCGCTGGCAAGAAATGAGTTCAATGCCTTAAACTAGCTTTTAAAAATAGCTAGATGACATGGTTGAAAACACTACTCATTTTTAATCTTCCCCTGCTTGGTTTCATGACAGAGCAGGCATCTTAACAGAGCAGATACTGATATCAAAGATGACACTTGAGGCTTTTTAACCTTGACTAGTATGCAGCATGCATGGTGCACTTCTAGGAATCTCTGCCTTTAGTCAGAAAGCTAAAGTGCCTGCCTATGATGTTTTTCAAGAGTAGTGGACAGAATTTATTTCTGACAGTTTTTATGAACACTGAGGCTTTGCACTTGACCCAGTACTAGAAGGCCCAATATCGGCATTTTTGGCCAGATTATTTAAATAATGTGCTTCTTTGCTCCATATATTAACTAAATTATTACCTCAAAGGTGAACCAGTCTGCTGGACTGAAGCAAAACCAAGAACATCTGGAATAACCAGGCTACACTCCAAACCTTGCTGGGACATGTGAATCTTTCGGCTTCAATAACACTGGTAAGAATGTGACTTGACTCTAATCCTGCTTCTGGTAGCGGCCAAGGATACATGATGAATCCATAGTTCAGCTGACTGCTGTGATGAACAGTCTTTCGCTCCTATCTGATTCATCCTTGTCTGTTTACACATGGTCTTGATATTTATGATTTTGACAGTTTGTATAATATGCATTTATCTTGTTTTGCAGATGGCTGTCTTGGACCACTTTAAATTTAAAATGCCACTTTAAGGTAAGACCACATAGCCTCAGTTATAGTAGTCTTGTATCTTGCATTAAGCTGCTCGTGTAACCAATGATGAAAACGATTCTGCCATATGAATCCTGATTTCACTCTTTACCGTTCCACTTTATTCTGAGGTTACATGAGGTTTTGGAGACTGCATTGAAATGACCTACCTTGGCTTTTCAGATGGTTAAATAACCTGCTAGAACACAGTTGTTAGTACCTGGGTATCCAATAGCTAACTTGTCTTATGGTTTTGTCTTGCAAGCAGATCAGACAAGAGCAGCCAGGCTGAAGTTGGAATTACAATTGGCTGAGCCATGAATACTCTTGGCCCCTTTGTGATAACATGGCACATCTCTCTACCAGTTGTCTGAAGTCTTGAATTAGGTAAGTAGACTGTCTACCTTATGTCTACCTTGGGGTACATGATGACATCTACTTTGAACTCTCTCCCTTAGATTAAGATGAAAACAAAAGTACTGATCCCCCAGTGTAACCACTGAGCAGCTTCCATTGTATTCCAACACAAACTTCATTTTTAATTTTAAATATTTTTTTTCCCCACAGATCTGAGACTTCATATTCAAAGTGATCTCAAAAGGCAACTGACCATTTAATGTAAAGCGAACTTTTGAGCAGTGGCTTGAAGGATCGTTCTCAATTTATAATGGGTTTCTCTGAAGAGGTTAAGAGTTCTGCTTCATGACTTGTTATCAAAGTAATGTTCTTTGCAAAGCTGTCATGACTTGTGAAATGCTGAATTAAATAAAGCTTACTAGAATTCAAATGTAATCTTGTCTTACTGTATCCTTTCTGATGCTGATCAGTGGCATTAGCCATCCTAAAATCTGAAAATAATAAAATTTGGCTGCATCATTAAAGGACCTTATGTTGTATAGCTCAAGCTTTGAATAACTAGAGTAACAAATTCCTCTAAAACTACAGGACTTGTATAGACAAGTGCTTTGAGCTGGCAGATACCATCCAATGAGGCTCTACCAATTGGGTCTGGCATTCTGGGCTGCTGTCTGGTATACTCCAAAACCAATATACTACACACCTGAACAAAGGCATCCACGGTAAAAGACCACTTGCCTATAGATGCAGAGACCTGTCGCCGCTCCCTGATATTGAGATGTGTCAATACTCTGCTCCTGAACGTCTTAGTTTGATCGCCTAATGTAAACAATTGGTGACAAAATATTATATAAGAGCATATCTGAGGTGTCCAAAAGTAAACCGTGTCTTGACATGATTTGCTCAATTTTGCCAAAGTGGGTACAACTTCCCCCTCCCCCAAGGGACACAGTTGGTACCATGCAGTTTTAGGTGCTGACACTTTTGGACAAATTCTAATCTGAGTAAATTTACTCTTAAAACCAGTTTAGAGCCATTGTCACTTTGTACTCTACATGTTTTGAATCTGCTTTGACTGGTCATTCCAGAGGGTGTCAGTATTGAATTAGTCTAGATCAGGGCTGGCCAAAAGGTAGATCCCTAGATGTTTTAAAACTACAACTTTTCATGCTTTTGTCATTCTATAGCAGGCTAAAAGGTATGCAAAGCATGATGGGAATTGTAGTTCTATCAGGAGTGATAACTTCTAGTGTAATACCTACAATCTGACCTGGGAGTTCTATTCATGGAATGATCCTGTTACTGCATGATTCTTGCATATTGACACACAACTTGGATTTTATTTTGTGTAAACTCTGAATCTCCAAACATTACATTAAATATAACTTTACTTTCTGAACATCATTTCATCAAAACATGAATTCCCTGCCCAGTATTCTGTGCTGCACAGTATTTAGAGGAATTATAAAAAAATAAATGTAAAATATAAAGTTTTTTTGGGGGGGGGTAAGATCCCCTAACACCAGTGTGAGAGCAGTGGGTGTTGGTTAGTAATGACTGTTTCTAGAATAGTCCCACATTCCCCCTCAGCTTTCATTGTCTATGGAGGTCACGTGGTTTTAACACCAAGCCTGCTGGCACCAGCACAGAACGTTAGCCCCGCCCACATCGACCTGTGGATTTCCTCGTGATCTCTGATCCTGCTTACTAGCTGCTCAAAAAGGGGCGTGGCCACAGCCCAGGTGTTAACCAGTCACGGTGGGCGTGGCTGTAAAAGGGGAGCTTCAGAGAAAGGAGCGACGTTGCGGAATGTGGCCGATGTGACGTCACTCAACTCGTTAAAGGAGACTTCCCTGGCGAACACGCCCCGAAGAGGCGTGGTTATAGAAGATGCACGCGGCGATTGGCTGCCTGTGGGCGTGGCTTTAGGTGAAGGGTGGTAAGCATGCAGATTGCTCGAGTCGCGGTGACGTCATCAGACTGCGGAAGGTTCCAGAGAGAGCTAGAGTGTCTGTCTCCCTGTGTCAGTCTGTCCGCGTTCTCCGCTACCCCCGGCCATGGACCCTGCCCTGCTAGAGGTAAGAGACCAGCCAATAACGGGCCACGTGGGGATCTCACTCCCTGCATGCTGCTGGGTGTAATGTGCTGCCAGTACCAGGGGTAATAGCCTGCAAGGGGGGACTGCACGTGATCTGCCCCCATTGTGTACTAAGGGGTAACAGCCTGCACCCCCCATTGTGTACAAAGGGGTAACAGTCTGCCCCCCCCCCCATTGTGTACTAAGGGGTAACAGCCTGCACCCCCCATTGTGTACTAAGGGGTAACAGTCTGCCCCATTGTACTGAAGGGGTAACAGTCTGCCATTGTGTACTAAGGGGTAACAGTCTGCCCCATTTGTGTACTAGGGAACAGTCTGCCCCCATTTGTGTACTAAGAGGTAACAGTCCTGCCCCATTTCATACTAAGTGATGGTAACAGTCTGCCCCCATTGTGTACTAAGGGGTAACAGTCTGCCCCCATTGTGTGTACTAGGGTAACAGTCTGCCCCCCATTGTGTACCTAAGGTAACAGTCTGCCCATTCTGTACTAAGGGGTAACAGTCTGCCCCCCCCCATTCTGTACTAAGGGGTAACAGTCTGCCCCCCCCCCATTCTGTACTAAGGGTAATAGTCTGAAAGGGTGATCCCATAGGAACTGATTCCATTCAGTGCAAGGGGTAATAGTCTGCCCCTATTCAGTAGTAGGGGTAATAATCTGCTAGCTACCCTAGAGGAACTGTTTTCATTCAGTGTTTGGGTAATAGTCTGCAAGAGTGATCTCCATGTAATCAGAGGTACTGCTTCCATTCAGTACTAAGGGATCTAGTCTGTAAGAGTTACCCTATAGTAGAGGAACTGCCTTCATTCAGCACTAGGGGTAATAGTCTGCAAGTACCCCAGATCATCTACTCCCATTCAGTTCTAGGGGTAATAGTCTGCAAGAGTGACCCCAGAGGAACTGCCCCCATTCAGCACTAGGAATAATAGTCTGCAAGGTGACCCTAGAGAAACTGCCCCCATTAGTCTGCAAGAGGGACTGCCCCCATTCAGTACTGGGGGTAATAGTCTGCAAGAGTATCTATATGTAATCAGAGGAGACCCCAAATGAACTGTCTCAGTTTAGCCAGGGGCCCTCTCCTGCAGCTTTTCTACACATCCCAGAAGTTTTTTTTTTTTTTAAATCTGCATTCTAGGTTCTGCTATATTTTTACCCTTTTGCTACACTGGGGGTGGTTTACTTTGTAAAGTGTTCTGTATATTTACAAAGCTGACTAAATAAACTAAATGTGTGCAGTTTGTTGGGGGTTTACATTTTTTTTTTTTAAATTTTCTTTTCAAAGATTCCTTAAAGGGACAATGTAGCTCTATCTGCCTAATCTCATTAAATTAGTTATAATGTCTGGAGTCCACTGGTGCCTTAATTTTAATCCAGCTTTAAGTAGTTTTTAATGTTTTTATGTCAACCGGGTGTCCCCAGCAGCAAATCCCCTCTGTGTTGCTTTGGCTAATGTGGAAGTATTAGCCTAAGCAGCTGTGATTGGTTGTCAGTGTCAGCTGCCTGCTTTTAGCCCATCAGAGCTCCAATCGCCGTTATGACTTCAAGGAAGTGAGTAATTCCTGCTTTAGCCACACCTCCTGAAGAGGCTGGACTGTGGGTAGCCAGGAACCGTTATTTAGTGTTAAGCTGATCTAAAATGGTTTAACTATGAATGGAGGGGCAGTGCTGGGATATTACACGCAATATAATCAACTCAAAGAGATGAAATGGTTATAGTGATTACAGTGAATTTGTGTCCCTTTGGAGTTGCCATGTCTGCATGGCAGAGAATGACAGGGAGATAGACCTGGTTCTTCCATCATTTGTTTTATGTTCTTCATTTTGAGTCTGTAGCACTGCTGTACTTTGTGCGTGTGAAAAAGTTTAAAACAGGGGAGTCATTGAAAGATTCTTCTCTAACTTCCAAATTTAGTTTCATTTTCATGTGTGTACATTGAGATAACCGGTATCTGAGAAGATTCCTGTTTCCATTGTCGATGCATAATGAGGAAATGCAGCAAATAAAAGCTTATTTTGCCACAAAATCTGAAATTTTCTTCCACAAAAGTAAGTGTATGTGTATATATCTCTCCCCACATCCACTTCTGTGGCAGAAAATGTCAGATATTTTTTTTTTATATATATAAATAAATAAATGGGGAAAACGTGATGACATTTATATTTGATTTGGTATAAACCTGCAAATTACTTGGAAAGTTGCATGTGTACAATCGTAGAATTACTCTGGCTGGCACCACTCTTTTGTCTCTATTTTTGAATTGGGAAAAGAGGGACAGACTAGGACACAAATAAGTTATTGCAGATTTCTGGGAGATACCTGTCTCATTTTTTGGTTTTGTAGGATAGTATGCAGTAGCACTTGTAATGCTAGTTTATTTCTTCTATACAGAAATGCCTTTGTTTGCTTCCATTCAATTAAATAAGTGTGGAGATAGCTGCTTGTGATCATACAGAGTTGAACTAATCAGTGCAGCAGTTTCTGAACTTTCTGTGGCTTCTATGCATATCCCATAAAACCTATTTTAAACAGGGAGGGGATTGTCTGGAATTGTCCAAGCACCTTTCTGGTATCTGCCAAAGCTGAAATATACAATAGAAAACTAGACTTTGACTGGGGATAAGAACCGATAGGCAACTACAGATGGCGACCCTCACGTGCCCTGTCAGTCGCTCATGGGACTACAACTCACATCATCCGAGACCTCCAAGAAGCCAAAACGGTCCTGCAGAAACTGGGCATTCCCCAACACCTCCTACCCACCGAAGCACCGGAGGCAGCACAGCGACCAACCCACGGCTGGAATCCGGAAACTACGGCAGAATTTGTACCCAGACAGGCCGCCCAGGGCTTACAGGACAATACCAAGACCTGACTTTATGAGAGACAGCCTATCATAGGCCCAGTACTGGACCCACACACTCTGGCAGCCCGATCCACACAAGGCCCTTAAACCCACATACCCACTCACAAGCTGAGCATATACCGCTTATTAACCTCCCTTAGATTGGCGGAAGGTACCCGCCACGGTTCCCCCCCCTCAGGAATATAATTTATTTATTTTTCTTCTCCCCGTTCACACTATATACATATATATTGTCTCCCCCGTAGGTATGCAACATCGCTCCTACTACCGGCAACTCCGATCCAGCACAACACCTTGCACAACAGCATCCACACAGGGGAATTGCTCGCAGTGCACTCTCACTTTTCTTTTCTCTCTCCCTTCTATATGTGCAACGAGTGACAGTGACCTAGCAGGGTTACCGGGCCCGGTGGCTTTCTCAGCTACGAGTCACCACTTTTTATCTTCAGGGGATTTATGGGCCCTATCCCAAGCAGATTACTCTAACATGATCACATAACTTTCACTATGTAAGCAGTTTATTTGGGTACT